CGATTCTCTAGAGGTCACAATTTTTTTTCCGAGTTTAAAAACCGTTTAAATATTTCACCATTCCAACATAATGAAGGTTGAATTCGAATTTCGGGAAAATCGAAATGAAACTGTCCGACAAAATGGCCGCTCTTTGTACGCAAATGGTGTAAAAGTATGTAATACGAAGGTTGTGGACCCTCTAGAGGTCACAATTTTTATCCGATTTTGATAAAACTTAAAATACATCTTTATATCCCAAAGTTCTCAGTCCCTTTCGATATTTGTGCATTTCAGACCATAACTGTCTTGATTGCCCCTGATTGTACAAAAAATTGCGTTTGTTTTTAGCTTGTTCTCTATCCATCTCTTGCAAAATATGGGCATATCCTGTCTGGCAGTCGCTGGTTAGATTAATTTATTCCGCATTGAAATCTTAAGAAAAGCTTTTCATAGGGCCTTATTGTTTTTGTTAAGTTCGAAATACTTTTTGTCAATATAGCAGTGAACATTTTTCCTAAATGATTTAAAATGATTTTTAAACAGTAGTACTATTTCATGAATGGACCACTGATTGGGAAATCCACAATTTTAAACATTATGATAATATCATTCTAAATTCCATGAAATAATCATTTAGTAGTCTGTTCTATCCTATACTTTAAATTCTGAAATATATCTTAGATTCACCCATTTCAATATTTTCCCCGACCAAATCCTAGAGGTGTACATTAGCCTGGAGGTCGGGTGTTCGATCCCTGCATTAGCCGAGAAAGTTCATCCAGATTTTCCGGCGCGGTTTCCCCTTGTCAGTCGTGCAGGACGGAGGGCCTGACAAGGACAGCTGTCTAGTCGTTCGGATCGGACGAAAAACCGAGGTCCCGTGTGCAAATTGGCGTGCACGTCAAAGATCCCTTGGCAGCTGGAATTCGATATAAGAGTAGGCCGTAGCCCGGGCAAAATTTCCCTCATAGCACACTGTAATGCCCGTCTTCATTAGCCCAGTTTAGGAGCAAAACAGTAGGACGTTAAACCCCATTTCATTTCATATTTGAAATAATAATACGCCCAGATATTAGAACGCGGGGGTTGCGGGGTGTATGAGGGAGGGGACGCGGTAACTCAGTGAATAAGACGTTGGGTCGCTAAACTGGAGTTCTATCGGGATTTTTCGGCGTAGTTCTCCCTTGTCAGTAGTTGTGCAGGACGGAGGGCCTGACAAGGGACAACATCTAGTCGTCAGATGTGACACATTGTACATTGACGTGCACGTAATAGAACCCTTGACAGTCTTCATTGTTGGAATTCTAAATAAGAATGGGCCGAAGTGCCGGTGTCCTGGGAAAATTTCCCTCATAGCGTACTGTATGGCGTATACGCGTCTTTATTAGCCCATTCGGTATAAATCACTGGGTCGTTAAACCCCATTTCCTTTGATTTCCAAAGTGTGTGCTTTAGACCATAGGCTATGCCATTTAGCCAATCGGTGTGGTTTGGGTTCTAAGCAGTGTTGCCTGTCAAACCTCGCGAATTTTGAAAAAAATTGAACAGTTTTAGTTCCGAAATGTTCTGTTTGTGTGTAGTGGACGTTAAACTCAATTTCTCTCTTTCTCTCCACTTATACTGTAGTACTGGTAATATTTTGTCCACTTTGGAAAAGTATAAATATACCTACATGTGCAAAGTTAAATAATTCTGGGCATATGCATGATTTCGTTTAACAATATGATCGATTGAAAAATTAAATTAAAATATTCAGGGAACCGACTCGACGATAACAATAATGCACACCACTTTTAAGTGACATTTTATTATTTTAAAATTTACACAAATTACAGATCTTTTCAATGACAAGAAAACACTCAAGCCAAAACGATCGCAAAAACTGTATTTTAATATGATAAAAGTTATTACGTGATCTAATAAAAGGTCTAAAGTAGAAAGGCAATAGTAGAAATTCTATCTATGATATAATTCTGACTGTTTAAAGTTGAAAAATTGTCGGTTTCCATTGGAAAATACCCCTTTTTAAATTCAAATTTTCCGTTTCACTTTTGATTTTCTACCTTTTACTCTAGATCGCATTTTGGACCTACAGTGTAGGTGTTTAACATTCATAAAAACTGCCAAATTGTGACCGATTCATTTAAAGAGGACTCGGGGGCCTTTTGTTGAGTTATCTTTAAGATACATGATTAAATGGCTGTCGTATTTATGATAATTATATTTTAATAATCTTATTCCATGAATTGGTTGTTACATATTATATATCAATAAATCTATATTAAAAAATAAATTGTTCTTATTTATCACGTGCGCTTTGTTTAAAGAAGCTCTGTCATTAACTTGTCAGTGTATTATCATAAAGGTGTGTCTTTTAATTATAAAAATTATCTATTTTTCTTATAATATATCATAACATACACAGCTGAAAAAAAATTTTGAAAATAAAATAAAAATAAGCTAATTGATATTTATTTTTGGGATAACGGGCGCTTTGTTGAAAGAAGCTCTGTTATTAACTTGTCAATGTTTTGTCATAAAGGTTTGTCTCTTAATTATTAAAATTATCTATTAAGGAATGACAAGTATATGTCTAATTATATGTCATAACATACAAAGATAAAAAATAAAAAAAAATAATAGAAAAAACTAATTGATAATGGATTGTTGGCTACTGAAGTGGTTTGATGAAAACTTTTTCGTTTAATCGATACACATTACTGCAGAATAGATTATCTCCCAAAACTTAGACACCCATATATGAGTCAGGGAAATAGAGGATAATTAACACATGACTCTTCGCGATAATGGGGTCTGGTATTTAAAATAATATCGACCCCTATTTCTTCTTACGAGATTATGTCTCATCTGCAGAATGGCCTATACCATTTTCCGACAAAAAGGCCTATGATCCGAGGAAATGAGTATAAAACTCAAGAATATTGCATAAAATAAAATCAATTATTTATTCGTACGGGATTAGGCCTCATCTACAGTTAGCCATACACTTTTCCGACCACAATAAGGTCTATGATGAAAGAAATTAAACCTTTTAATTTGAGAAAGTCACAAAACTGATAATTGGTATAAGAAATATAGGTATGTTTGTGTCTCCCATATTCACGTATCTTGATTACTTTAATTTTGTACAAGTTTTAAGCGATCATCACATTGCATAAAAACCTAGAACAAACAGCATCATTTACTATTCTCACCAAGTTCCTGTGGTCTCTTGGAGTATTCGAAGTTTAGAGTAAAGCGCAAGATTGTAACATTAATATTATTTTTGTAAAAATATGGAATGAGTCTATTAATTTTCTAACAATGTTTTATGGCAAAGCAACTCCCACCCCAATAACTTCTAGAATACATTCCCTCTGGCGGTGCGTACCAAGACGCATTAAGTAACAAATGGTATACAGTTATATTGTTGTAGGAAGAAAATCGTTTAATAATGAAATGACATTTATTACCAAAATATGACAAAGCTTCACACAGTTCATTGTCACGTTCTCATTAATACCGATAGACATCGTCATAATGATCAATCTGTTTTTTAAAATTCCAGAAACATATCAACATAGGCTTTGATCACACGTTCTATTAGCGAAACAAAAACAAAACTAATCAATCAATTAAACACAATACGTAGGGAAATAAATTACATCTGTAAGTGAAGTTGGGTCGTCATTTCGGTAAAGACCTTGCTGCTAGGAACAGTTAGCGGTATGATACTTATTTTTTATATTATTTACAGATAAAGGATTTTAGATTTTATGTACTACATCGATACATATATATATATATATATATATATATTCTAAATCCACTGGACAATTTTCAAGTTTATACTTTCGAAAGCAGTGGGTTAGAATATAAAAGTATATTTTATTATCCATTGGTAGTATCTAAAAATGTGTATGTAATATTATTGTCAGGTTCGAATATATTTTAATCTTAAAATGTTTTTTTTTTTTAGCTTAACCGTATTTGCTTCTTTCATTTTATTCTGAATTGCTAAACTATATTTGAAATCAAGGGATATAACTCAACTAATTGTAATGGAGGCAGACCACCATTAAATGTCACCACCTTGGTACCCACAAATTGTAGTTCGTCTATTTATAGCAATTCTTTCTCTGTCTCTTTTCTCCCCTTTTCCATGCCCATCTTTGTTGATTTTTTGGTCTAGAATGAATAAAGAGGGTTTGAATTAACATTTTCTGCCAGGTTTTTGTAAATATTCATGATTTTGAGGCGGAAAGATAACGGGGCTATCAGGTTGGCTACGGTGATATGTACGGCAACTAGTTACATGTTTTTAGTATGCTTCTAAAAGTTTGTGTATCTCAAAATTTTGGTGGTGAACCTCATACAAATTTTAGTGCAAAGACATGACCATTTGTTCCTCTGTCTGTAGTGAAAAGCATTCAGTCCAACGAAAATTTGGGGAAAGGTTGGAGGTGGGCAAAATGGCCAGAATTAACATTGAAGTCAATGGGGAAATTAATGGTGGTCTGCCTCTTAATAGCCCATTATATTTGGAACCGATGGAACCAAAAGTTTGTAGAAAACACCCACGCCTCCCTCCCATATTGATCACTGTTCGAGCAATATTACACCTTTCCATTATTCTTATATATACAAAATATATACTGTTTATACAAATATATCATTGCAACAAAATTGTTAATTACTTTTAATTAGCTTTTAGTTTTAGGGATTGGCGGGGTTTTTTTTATCCACTTCTTTGATCATTACAGTATAAGATAATTTGTATTGTTATTATATAAGTTATCGTAGTTCAAATTGTATTAGAAATTGTTCAATAATCATTACAATCATATTTATATATTTGTGTACCTTGTCATTTATTAATAAGATATATTAATAAGTGGTTATTTTCAATTCATTCACTGCGTTGTTGTATTATACGTGCTTTGGTCAAACTGAGCAAGATACTGTGTTAGCATAAAGTCTATAATATCTAATAAAATAGTAATTAACCTTTTTTACAGCTACAACATGGCATTCGTCGCTTTGACTGTTTTACTTGCAGCAACTTTGTCATCAGGGTTTATATGTAAGTTAGTTATATTCATTATATTTTCGTAATACCATCCTTAAGAACCGTTAAAAATATTTCGACGCGAACGTCCATGGATATATCTCTACGCACATGAAGAATTAGTAATTAAATGTGGATTCGAATTAACACACTTTTGTAATAAATTGTTTGATCATTTTGTTCTTGCTCAGCCACGTTAAAGGTTTGGTGATCTTTATGATGTTATTTCAAGATGACTTTAAATAAAACTATTGATTGGACATTCTGTTTAAAATGTCGGAAACAGTTATTACGTAATAACATACATACATGTAAGGCAAGGAGTATAGAAGTGTCGTTACTATTCAACATGTGAAAACAGTTAGCGGTCAGATAAAATTGTCACAAACATTGGCTCGTCTTTATTAGCCCAACTTCTTTCATTAACAAACATTGGCTGACACTATTTATTTTATTTAATTTTCTCTGAACTTACAAACTGATTTTTCCTGGTCACTAGATATACCACAAAATATCTGTTGATGAATAGAAAACATGATTACACCCGAAGGGACGTATATCGTCAATATGGCATAATATAAAACCGGCCACACTTTATACGTCTGCATTAATGTTTTCGTTTATTCTCCCAAAGCACAAACAAATCAGATGTGATTAAAGTTGTATAAATTGTTTTCTATAAGAATGGGGCGTTAATGATCTCTTTAAGGTACTGTTGAACTGATCACAAATGTTTGGTGAAAACAGTGACATTGCTTGTATCTAATCTTGTATAGAGATTTTATGATTTCAATACATTGTGTTTAGCGTAATATTGCCCGGTTGGCGATAACATTCCATAACACACTGGTTTTCTGTAGATCTAATTTCAAGAGCATGTGGGAATTATTTAACGTTGCGCATTGGTTACCTTAATATTCCAACTATTTATAGCAATTCGTGACTAAAAGTTATGTTATACACTTCCTGGATGATAAGGGTCGATGTGGCCTAATGAGTAAGACGTTGGATCACTAATTGGGATGTCTCGGGTTCGCTCCCGGTGGTGGCCAACAAGGTTCCAGTGGTGCATGGTAGAAGACCTGGTAAGGAATAATGTCAAGTGTGGATGGGACGAAATACCGAAGTCCCTTGTACACTTTCGCGTGTAGCTGTCAGATGGCTAGAAAGTTGGAATTCGATATTTCAATTTTACCTGCTGGATATTCACACCATGTACATGTCTAACCCTTTGAATATTCTTTTTTTCAGTGCCCTTACATCCTATACGTAAGTAGATAATCAATTACAAAAGAATACAAAAATAAAATTTTATCCACACTGAAAATTAAAGGAGCTAAATCGCTAATATTTGGGACCTAGAAATTGACACATATGGGTCGCAACGCATATAATACTGTAATATGAATGTATATAAACTGATTTACATTCAATGGTTTCCGTTTTTACTCCAATTTCAAATCAGTTATGTTCGGCGAAATAAGCCAGCAGTCTCAAGCGAGTGCAAATTTCTAGCGTCTGGTTATTCCAGTCTACATACTCCGTTTGATTTGGTGCAATGTGTCTAGCCTCGTCCCTCGAGTCTCTTGATACAACTGGGGCTGAAGCGCATTATGGTACACGATTCGTGTACCAATGGTAAAATGTTTATTTTGTCTTAAATATTGGATATCAAAAGCCCATCTTTTTCCAATAAGATCACAACATAAATGTTGATTTAATTTGACAAATAAATCGTGTTTTCAATGTTGAAGATTTTGGATGAGAGAGAGAGAGAGAGAAATGGGGTTTAACGTCCACTCGACACAAACTAGGTCATTTCGGGACTAACATATGGTTTAGTTTTATTTACATAATTCGCTTGCGCGTAGGGGTCTTTAGCAGTGAGAGGAAACCGGAGGACCCGGAGAAAACCCACGAGGTTGGACAGGCGACCCTACTCCTTGCCACGTACAACCGGGGATTCGAAACCACGCCAGTCGACTCAATGACAGACTTTATGATACAGCGCGCGCACGCTAACCATTCAGCCATCCACCCCCCCTAGATTTTGGATGATATTGAGTTAGAGACTTAGCTACTTTAAGTTGCCATTAATGTTTCTTGTTAAAACAGCTTTTTTTAATCAATCAGAATTTCATGTGGAAATTGTTAGTATATATATTTAAGACGATGAATAGAGATGTGCCGGCGTTACTATAAAACGTGCCAATTAGAACTGATTATACACGGTACTCCAAGGGAAATTTAAACGTCTGCCAATCGTCTCATTTAATGTTTCGTTTATTTTCACAAAACATAAACTAATCACGCGTGATGGAAGTTGTTTAAACCTGTACTCTTTACAATGAGACGTGTCTTGCTTTTTCTCGGTAGATCCAACTATAAGGCCAGAAGATATGTGTACACTATTGGAACCACCTTGGTTGCTTTGCTATTTTAAAACAAATTTTGACAAAAAATTATGCAATACACTTCCTGTAAGATATACACAACATACACGTCTAACCTTTTGAATATTCCTTTATTTCAGTACCCATTACGCCATTTGGTAAGTAGATAATCATTTACAAACAATACAAAAAGAACCCTTTAAAACTTATGTTAATGCTCTCAACACTAAACGTTCATACTCCTCGCAGTGTTTCGTTTGATTACACCTAACCACACTTACGAAGCAAATTTCTGTTCCAAATTATGACTAGTCAATAGTCCGATTAACAGCCAATAGCTAACTGCGTAACAATATCATTACCCTTTAAACAGAGCTCCAAATTGGACTAAATATGTTAACATAACGTTACGTCATGACTCACGATTTTATTATGCTCAATTAACCAGTGCATAGCAGAATATTGCTGAAAACCTAATTGCGTGACAAACGAGGCTACCAAAAAGAATACAATGTTAACAATACTATTTGGAGACGAACACTACTTTCACCGCTTTTAATACCTTAATACTGTTTAAGGAAAGACCCCAGATTAAACGAAGGGCTGTTATGTTGCTGTACTTGGGATAGAATTGATTGAACGGGAAGAATAGACACACACCCTCAACAGCTAAAGTGTCGGAAACCAATCCAGCAATGGCCAGAGAGGAATTCCTCCAGCCATTGCTTCAGAAATATGTAGTATCGCTGTCTAGGCAACATTTCCTTCATAAGACTCAAGTTGGCATTAAATTTTCTTGCTAAAACAACCATTTTTTTTTAAATCTAAAGGAAAAATTCCACTTCTTAGGGTTATATAGCAAAATACCACCGTTACCCGTCCTATTGTAACGTTAACATTTAAGATGCCACATTTATTTTCAACATTTTTTTAAGTATTGAAACTATTTATAATTCGTATAGCTTATTGCAAGGGAGGTGAACAATAGAGTGTATACTATTAAATAAAATTAGTTTTTCATCTTATTTTCCGCCACTTAATTTCTACGTTTATTTTATTGCAGGAGTGAGTTCGCCAGTTCATAATATTCTGCGTTTACGAGCAAATGATGTAGCTGCACGGATGGGGTTAGCGGCACAAGCTCAAGCTGGTGTATTAGCCGCGGCAGGAGGTATGACTATTTCTTTTTCTACCGAGCCTTATTTTATTAGTCATAGTATATTATATTATTTAAAAAGAAAGGCACAACTAAACATTTAGCTCTGTAGGAAGTGATACATGGTGTACTTCATTTAGACATATATGTTTCTCGTGCACAAATAATCAATGTGAACTGGCCCCTCAATTGCATCTTTGCTTTCCAGCACAACAGAGAGTTGCAGCGCATGTTGCAGCTAATATAGCCCGAAATGCTGCTGCGGCAAGTGACAGGTTCGCAACCAATGCAGCAAGACTGAGTGGAAGTGGTGCAGGTAAATTATATTGTTTCTGTATTGTTATTTATATACTTATATATAAATATTTAATCAACAAAAAACAATTGCAGCTTGTAAGGACTAAACGGTAAACACATGGCTTCATGCTCATATCATAAGCTTAACAATCACCGTCTATCTCTCGAGACAATGTACCTGATGTGAGTAGATCCAAGGTTCCTTGGGATTTTGCAGCGCTGCTACCCAACGGTCTGTGGTGCAGGACGAAAAGCCTAGACGTTCGGGTGTTACCATGGTCCGGTGTACACGCCGGCGTGTACTGAAAAGAACCTCTGGCCGTCTTCATTATCCCGGGGCAGAAAATTAGGATATTAAACTTCGTTTTATTTCATATAATTGCAGTATTGATTTGTTCTAGGTGCTAGTTCAACAGCAGTATCTTCAATGACTCACAGTAACTCAAACAAAAGTATGTTTTTTAGATTCAAAACAATTTATATACGTACTTTTGTATCACAAACAGTTTAGGATGGAGGGCGATATGTATTCTTGTGCTTATATACCTATGTTCCTGCCATTGTTTAATGAGATTATTGGCCACGGTAGTACAGTGAATACGACACTGATTAACAAGGTAGGGGGTCCCTGTGTTGGCATAGAAAGTTTCTCGGGATATTTTACCGTAGTTTCATATTGTCAGTGGTTCCGGACGGAAATTCTGACAAGAACAGCATCTAGTCATGTGCATGTAAAATACCTTTGACGGTTTAATTTCAAAGTTCGGAATCCGAGTATGGTTTTCGAATATAATCTCAAAAGAACTATCTCTTTAGTATTAATATCACGTTTGCACCTACATTAGACATTTAGTACATTAATGATTTGTATATTAGGGCCAGTACTACTTCTAATTTTTAATCCGGGCGCACTTACCGTCACTCAACTAATTTTACAGGGATAATGCTGGCTCCCGGTCAAAAAATAACTATACCAATTGACTATCGCAATGGGGATATCCAAGGCTATCAACGAAACCAAGCTGGTGGACCTGGATATTGGCCAGACCCAGCGGGACCTGGATACGGACCAGAACCAGGATATGGACCAGGTTCTGCGGGACCTGGATATGAACCAGGACATGGACCAGGTTCTGCGGGACCTGGATATGGACCAGAACCAGGATATGGACCAAGCTCAACAGGACCTGGATACGGACCAGAACCAGTATATGGACCAAGCTCATCAGGACCTGGATACGGACCAGAACCATTAGTACCAGGATATGAACCAGGCTATGTATCAGACCCCTACCCACACGGTAAAAGAAAACGTTGAATATTTAAACAATGATTCATGTTGATATATCTTAATAATGTTAATATTAATTTTATAAAAGTGCATTCGGAATATTCAGAATATAAAGGTCGCGCCATAACGATTCTAATCAGTAGTCCAATGTACAAATTCGGAAAGTCCAACAAGTGAATGTGCAAAATATAAAATCTAACAAGTATTTAATGGGCAAATCTTTCAAAAAGTGAACGCATGCAAATCGCCTTAATGGAAATAGGTGCCACATGCCCTGAAATGATAAAAAAAAGTTACATAAATTTTTATGATCTATTTGTACATTTCTTCCAGGGACACTGCGATCACCAATGCCTAATTCAGGTAAGTGCTGGGTGTTTTATTTATGTGATAAGCGCCCATATTGTTATAATAACAAGTCTGATGGTATTGTGTGATCGACTTCCAAATCAATTGCAGCTGTGAATTAATTTTAGGATTGAGCTTTAAAAACAATAACATCTGAACTAGGGCCAGTAGTTAATTACGTTAATTCAAGAGGGCATTGGTACGAGCCCCGTAGGGAGCCGCGCATTTCATCTGTGTCAGGTACGCCAGTACTTCTAGTCAAATCAGTGGTGTGCGTTAGACCCCGATTGCTTTATTATTTTGTTGAGTAAAAGAATGAGGCTGTGGTGTTGACATTTAGACTTGAGAGATACCCTTAGGTGAACGAGAAATGCACCGTTGAAGCCTCCCACTCCACCCCCGCCATTGCAAACGAATACAGTTAGTCTATGCACTTCTTCTATAAGTTAGAATCGGACTTTAGTGGCTATATTTATAACAGGTTACATCACAAGGCTTCATTTTGCTTGGGTGGGGAGAGAGTCCTTTCAGCGCCACAGAATTTCTAACAAAAATAATTGTAAGAGGAAATTAAATAAATGAAATAGGGTTTAATGTCCCACTGTTCTGCGCCAACTGGGCTAACAGAAAATTTGAATTATAATACATGAAAGTTTAACCACTGACAATATAAAATTGCGCACGATCTTGATACTTTAAAGGCAATTGCTGGTGCAAAAATATTTGCAATAATCTTAAATAATATATTTTAAATGTCCTACGCCTGTAACCATTTTTCAGTCTATTATTTATGGACGGTTAAATGGTCATAGCTTATTAAACACCACATCACCGTTTATTTAGTTATGGAAAACCGAACAGCTCTTTATTCAGTGTTCTTAATTCATAGTCCTTAAATCATATTTCTTCATTTGTTGTGGTATTTCGACATTTGTACACTAAAATTAACATTTGTATCTTGAAATAATTATTTGTTTTACAAATTAGACATTTGTCATATCAGATTTGTAAAGTGAATTTTGATTTAATTTAATTTTATTTTATTTTAGAAAGACAAAATTAATTTTAGTAAATCAAAAAAATAATCTACATTTACATTTCATCATAGATATATAAGGAAAAACAAATCTCGAAAAACAAATTTCTAAATACAAATCTCCAAATACAAATCTTACAAAACATTTCTCCAAAAACATTTCTTCAATAAAATGTCTCCAAAACATTTCTGGAAATTCATCGAACCGGAACATTATGACGACAGCGGAAATCAACCTGGCATACAACAAAGGAAAATCGAGCAAACATATGCTCTTCAAAAAAAAGTAGGGGATATTGAAATGCAAATACCTATGCAGGTTGTGATATGATAAATAGTCATGGACACTTGACATGCTTTGAGAGTATGTTCACAGATGAATAACTTATCGCCCTAACAGAACCACTGAGCTGCACATGCGACACGCGATAGCGCCATACACGTGGGAGGGGTTCACTGTCAAATTTGACACTTTAAGGAAGGGTTGATGAAACTGCCGCGTGCTGGTTTATCCTATCCATGTTTGCTTTCCTGTTGGTTCTTGCATACGGTTTACTGTTTAGCGTAACTTTGCTTTAGTGCGTTACGTTTAATTTGATCGGGAGACGTGTTCGTCGACGTCAACCGACAACACTGCAAGAATTGGCCGTGGCACTGCAAGAGGAGTGGGTCAGATTGACCCAAATTGTGATTGGACGGTTGATTAGGAGCATGCCACGACGAATTGCTGAATGTCTGAGGCTTGGTGGAGCAATTACTCATTATTAAGACAAAAATCAAAAACGTCCATTTTTACTTTTAGCAGTGTATCTCTTTGCGATTGAAATAGGACCGTCTGATAAGCCTCCCATATATATACAATAAGATATATCGCTCAATGACCGTGACTTTAGTGGAATCTGAAATCGCGTGTGTGTTTTATATGTGTGTATATATATAAGAAAAAAATATATAAAACGATCTAAGTCTCAGTTAAACATATAAGTAAAATTCAAGTATTAGAGAAAAAAACACTAAAAATTATTAGAGAAAAAACACTAAAAATTATTAGCGAAAAAACACTAAAAATTAAAATTTTAATTTTTAGTGTTTTTTCTCTAATACTTGAATTATATATATATATATCTGATCTAGCATTAAATAAAATAAATTGAAAGTAGTCTACTTTTAGTAATTAGGTTATTATTTGATAGCAAAAAAAAAAATTCTTTCGACAAACGAAAAGAGGGCTTTATCTCTTCTAAATCATGTAATCACGAATGTACCAGTAAAATAGTCAATACTCGTATATTCAAAGAGCGATAGACAAATACTTTCAGGTGAAGCATTTTACGATAACTGGAATTTCGTATTAAGACGCGTATTTTGACTTTTAAATACCCCATCCCCTCACTAAACAGAGTTCAGACGATCCAAATTATATCTGCTTTAACAAGGTACGTAAATATGTATATGTCAAAAAATATTTTACAATTTTGAAAATGTATTCGGACCTTTTTAATGGTATACATCCCGATATCTTGTATTTTGTGTTATGACCCGTATTTTGACGTTAAATACTCCCACCCCCTCCCCATTTAATACATTTTAGTGTCATTCCAATTTACTTCTTTTTATCAAGGTATGTAATTACAAATGTGCAAGAAAATAATTTACATTTTGTAGCAACAATAAACATACCTTCAGCTGTATATGAACAGATGTCGAGAATTTCTTATTAAGATCGCTTTTTTTACTTTAAATATTCCGCCCCTCCCTTCACTTAATAAAGTTTAGAATCGTTGAACTTTGATCTCTTTTCAAGGTATATAAATATAAACGTGCCAGAAGATAACTTAAAAAGTTATACACTATTAAACTCTATTAATTGACTGTGAGGGGGGGGGGGGGTTGAGGTTGTCAATGTCAAAATACGGGTCATACTACGACATTCCAGATATTACACAGAATACCACTGAAAAGAAGTTTCGTTTACCTTTTCAGAAATGTAAATTATATTCTGGCACATTTAAATTTACATAGCTTGGAAAAGCTATTACAGTTGGATGGCGCTAAATACTATTAAGTTAGTGGGGGGGGGGGGGTATTTAAAATTTAAAATACTGGTTATCGTGTAATGCATGAGCGGAAAGTATTTATTTATTCATGATTACATGATTTAGAAGAGATTAAACACTCTTTCGATTGAGAACAGAATTATGTCGCTATCAGACAAAACCTAGTTTCTGAAAATAGACTATTTTCCATTTATTTTCTTCCTCGAAGGCCAGGCCCGATTAGCCATACTACGCATGTGGTTTCACTAGTGTCGCGGTCAACAAGCGATTTTTCTGATTGTGTATATGCTTGCTCGATTCCCCATTATTGTATGGTGACTTATTGTATGCCAGGGTGATTTCCGCTCATATCGTTATAATATTCCAGTTCGATGGATTTCGAGAAATATTTTTGGAGAAATGTTATTTGAAGATATGGTTTTTGGAGAAATGTTTTGGAAGATTTGTATTTAGAAATTTGTTGTTCCAGATTTGTTTTTCGATGTATTTCTCTGATGAAATGTAAATGTAGGCTAAATTTTGAATTTCTAAAATAAATTTTATCTATATATTAAAATACATTTTAAAAATCTGATATGACAAAATTCTGATTTGTAAAACAAATTTTGATTATAAGATACAAATGTTAATTTTAGTGTACAAATACATTAAGAACTAAGAATTAAGAACACCAAATAAAGAGCTGTTTGGTCTTATATATTTAGTGACTATAAATGTGCGAAACTGATTTAAGGCTTGGTATATATATAATATATATATAATATATATATAAGAAAAAAATATATAAAACGATCTAACTCTCAGTTAATCATATAAGTAAAATTCAAGTATTAGAGAAAAAACACTAAAAATTAAAATTTTGGCTAGTACTTTCATCGTTATCAAACGAATCGTCAGGCCATTTATTTTTAGTGTTTTTCTCTAATACTTGAATTTTACTTATATTATATATATATATATCCAAAATTATTAGCACAACCGCAAAACTGCACTACTTTGTTTCACGGTAAATGATGAAAAGATAAAAAAGGTATGCCGACACAAACTGATTTCAACACTGGTTTAATAACATTTTAACATTTTAAAGTACTTTTCGTCCGTCTTGGGACTATTCATAAATAATGTCATTGTATAAAGATGGACAGTATAGTATATTTATACATATTTACATAGTAACACTGGTTTTAATTGGCTATAGTTACCATTGTCTATGGTTACATAGTATATCGTTAACTAATAGAAACATGTACACACATGTGTTAATCTGTAGTATATGGGTTTCAATTTATGAACAATGAGTGGAAGATAATCATGGGATAGATTTAAGAAAATTAATGAAGCTAATGGCCAATTGTTACTTATTGACTATTAAGTAATGAAGCTAATATATATATATATTGTGGTAATTGTCAAGATATTTGGAGATATTTATTTATGGTGGGGCACCCTATCATTCGTCATGCTAATGCACACCTTTGGCCTTTCACTCAGTCTGACTTTTCCGATCGTCTGGATTTTCCAGCACGGTTTCTCTTTGTCAAGACTATTACCAGTCTTTAATAAATGTTGATTTCGTTGTTTATCGTTTGCTCCAGGTGCAACGGGATCCAGTCAACAGGCTAGTTATACTGACCCAGGAAGTCCAGCGCCTGTTGGTCCAGGTAAAGTTCATTATAACATAGTAAACAATAATGCAATGCAATGCCTAATCATTTAATACGTAAAACGAGTGCCAGGTGTTATTGAAAGGGTATTCATATTCTGTCTTTTGCACAATTCAGACTACTGAGAAACAAGGCTCACACTGGCTTTCAATTTTTTTCCGACAAAATGGATGATAATTTTCATATACAAAAATGTTCTGGAATATTTTATCTGCAAAAATGTTGAATAAAAAAGACAACATGTAACAATTTTATGTCTCGGGTAGGCCTATTATAAAACAATTACCGATATATACAATACTACGGCGCCCGGCAAGGGGCGAAAAATATAAACAAAATACCTAGCGCGAACCGGATAATAACTAGCGCGCGCCAATCAATGCCTATTGCGCACTAATGAATTCCAGAATATTAGGGAAATTTTACAAGGACAGCGGCACTGCGTTCTACTCATATTTCAAATTCCAAATGCCAAGGGGTCTGTTGCGTGCACATCAGTGTGTACATTGGACAAGGGAAGCCCACGCCGGAAATACTGAGGAACTTTCTCTGTCAACACACAGAGGAGCGAACCTGAACCTCTGTATATTGCTATAAGACTTTATATTCCACACCCTTGTCATAAGCATTATACGAATCATGAATATTAAAGGTGCATTATGTAAGATATATATCGGACTATTGCGGGTCTTTATTTTGGCTTCAAATATTATATAAATTATTAATTAGACATTTATTCACATGACAAGTCCATAAGCCACTCTCTAGAGCATCGGGTGTTTGTGATTTTTAATGGATGGAAACACAACATCTATTTGATTATTTGCTTTTAATCGAGATTTTATTTATTATCGTAACAATGTTAGCAAAGACAAAAGAGACGTTGTTTCGATTCCCGTCTTGTACGTGACAATGGTAAGGTCGCCTGTCCAACTTCGCGGGTTTTCTCTGGGTCATCCGGTTTCCCCCCACTGTTAATGTTTATTAACATACCTAGTTTATGTCGATAAGACGTTTTCCCCCGCTCCCCCCTCTGAGCTACCAGGCCCAAACAGAAAGTCTGATCAACCTCTTCGTTTGCAAGGGGCTGCCTTCCTGACCCTGCACTACCCAATTTGAAAAGACTGGAACAGGCTGATAAATTACATTCATCACAGTATTAGGGAGTGTCCCTACTACGATTATTATCAGACGAAAAGGGAAATCGAGCAATTGGGGGGAATTGTGGTGTAGGTTTTCTCCGATTCACCCGGTTTTCTCTCACTAATAAAGACCACTCACTCCCCTCTCTCTCTACCTCAGAAGCCGATTTGCTCCTTTCTGTGAATTCACTTTTTCTAATATATCGAGAAAATCCACCTATGCAAACATTATTGCACAATCCAAATCTTTTTATCTTGTCATGCCAATCAACGTGCCACACATAGTTTGGTCCTATTCCGTTATATTGTGTTCTCCCAAGTCTGTGACGCAAGCGACATTCCACACCTATACAGATCTAAAAGTTTCAGTATGGCCACTTTGGATAAATTTTAAATGCATCCATCGATATCCATGGCATTGACCACTTCGATGTAACTCTTGCTGGATATATTGAGTAAACAGGAATAGTGCTTTCTTCTGCCAAGCCCTGTCTAACCGATAATTGTATGTGATGATTTACCACGAGAAGGGTTTTTTTATAACTAACAACCCGGTGGCAGTATTGACGAATGTAATATAACACCTAAACTCCCAAAATATGACATCGTAGCAGATGTTCTATAGAGTGTACGGACAGTATGCCTATTGCTAGACACGTAAAGTTGTGTGTATGGGGGGGGGGGCGCAACGTTCAGTTGACGCAAACTAGATCATTTTGTTACATGGGGGAGGGGTCGGGCAACACAGAGAAAAGCCACGACATTGGACAGGCGACCCTACTCCTTGTCAAGTTCAAAAATGGAATCGAAACCATGCCACTCAACAACAGACTGTATGACCATAAAGCGTATGCGTTAGATCATTCGGCCATCCAAACAACATCTTGTTTATGTCATGATAAATAAATGTAAAACCTGAAGATTTCCATTGCAGTGGCTACACAATACAACAACCAGGCTGGTACTTCTAGCAATACAGTTGGACAGAATACTGTTACATTGGGCGCTGGTCCTGCATACCAACCACAAGCCAATATAGCTACAAACCAGATAGTCGGGTTACAACCACCTGCATACATACCCCAGAACCCGAACACAATTGCCACAGCACAATCTACTCAACAACAAACAGTTGCTCAACAGACAAATGCAATTGTAAATGATCCCAGGCCAACAACATACATAAATCCTCTTCCTGGGCGTGTGACAAGCATCCAGGATCCATTTGCAGGTAAATACATTGGGTATTTTACATCATAGTAAAGTAACTGTGCTGGATTTGCAATTCTCCGAAAATATCAAATTTCGCAAGGCTTAATCTACGCCGATGCTGATTATTTAACATTGAATTTAAACAAAAACAAATATTAACGCTAGATAATCTCCCGGCTTGGATTAAATCATAATGAAAACAGGCCCATCAATTAGGTTTCGCGAAACAAAAATGACGTTGTACCATTTACATAGGGAGCAACATAGATCTGTGGAATTTCAGTTCATAATATCTCTGAAATACTTTTTGGAATTGAATCATTTTAGGCCCGATATTGCCACTGGGTTTTACAACGGATTACTATATCGCTTAAATAACGCTCAGAGACCTTAAATCATAATACTCGTAATAACTGATCATTAATTATTATAATAATCTTTTGCAGCAAACAATGGAGGTAGTAATGCACAGATTGTTACAGGTATGGTCCTTTTTACAATATCAACCTGTGCCATTAAACACTGCTTTCAATGTGTGCTATACAAAAATGCATACGACTTGTAAACTAAAGTTTGTGATATATATTTACAATTAAATTGGTACATTGTTTAGAATAACGATGGATTATTTGTAAAACAGAAACCACTGACTTCCCATTTTGCATTTTTATATATTTAGTAAACATGGTTGATCCCGGTGTGGGAAACTCAATTACCACAGGAACAAGTAAGTAGAAGTGTAACGCTAAAGGTGTTACTTCTTTACTACAGCAGTGATTAAAATATTAATTAAATCAAAATTCAAAACATAACAATGCCATGTCAGTGAGACTTAAATGCAGAAATTGTCTGGCTTTTAATATTAAACATTTTAATACTATATTATTACTAAACCTGTATATTAACCAAGTGTATTCCATTTTCCAGCAACCAATTTCCAACCAATGCCTAATAGTAACTCAGGTAATCAAATTATACTCTTCAAAAAAGAAACACAGCCCACTTTTCATCATTTTTTTTTATTTGAACGAGGTCGTTGTTTCCATAAATCTTACTTGTTTTTAATGTCATGTAACGATAAAAGAAATTCATTATTGGTTTTAAATGTAGGGTCACTAATTGTGACTGGTCATCATATTTGCCGAAATTTGTGTTCGCTTGATTACACCAAGACAAATGAATTTAACAACTTCGCGAGCTTTTCGCATGGAACCTAAATCTAAGGCCTTTAAAATCCCTGGGTTCTCGGTTTCAAAATCAGTTTGACATGTAAACACTCAACCAAGTGATGCCACATCTGAACGAAGACCAACGCAACAACGCTGTTGGTCGATTAGAAGAAGGTGAATCCCAGACAGATGTAGCCAGTCTGCTGAATGTTTCCCTGAGTTCCATTTCTCGCCTTTGAGATAGGTACCGACAGCGAAGTTCAACACGTGACCGCCCAAGCTCAGGCCAAACAAGAGTGACCCCCACCTGTCCTGGATCGTCACTTCTGGTTACGTCAACAGCGACCTCTACTGCAGCAGCAATTCCCGGACGGCGTAGAATCTCAGACCAGACAGTCCGTAAACGCCTACGTGAAACCGTATTACGAGCCAGACGTCCCCGTTAGAGCTGCTGTTTTGAAATACGCCGACACCGTGAAATCCAACTTCAGTGGGTTCAGACACTGGGGGTATGGCCCCAGCAACATTAGAGAGCAGTTTGGTGTAGCGATGTGTCGCGGTTTCTGTTGCAACAAGACGATGGTAGAGCGAGGGTATACCGACGACGAAATGTCACATTGCGTTTCTTTTTTTAAAGAGTATATTTTAATGAAATTATGTTTAAGTGCGTCTAATAATGTCTGGCAAACACATTATAAACCTGGTATAATATTACTCATTATGTGACGTTTGCAATTTATGCAATCTGATTAAAATACAGATTTATATTTCGTTTCGTTTTTTTATACTTTCGATGGCCTACACTAGGTCAAGCTGAGCTCATACGAGCAGCTTTTGACCCTATGACGTAAGACATTTGATTAAGCAATCAGCATTGATGTTACCTGTGGATTACCCACAGTTGCGTGCAAAACATGCCTAAATCTCACCTTGACAGACCGTTTTATTGGCTAATCCCTCACACCATTCAGAACACGTCAATGATAACAACTCTTCCATATCCTAGTGCAGTAAAGACGAGTAAAACGAAATTTTTAACTATAAAAACGAAACAAAATAGGATCTGTGTTTTAATCAGATGCATGTATTATTAGATATATTGCATTATACCCTTGAAATTCATATGGTTGATACATAAATATTTTATCATAAAGGTCCTGGTTATGTTGACCCTAGCACAAGTGCTGGACCCGGTGAGTTTTATTTTATAACATAATTTCATATTATCACATGTAGCTTGTCGCTAATGCCCATCTTTTCGACCGATAAAATATTTCTTGTAATATAGTTCACAAAGCGGGTTTAGGGTTTTCGATTATTGTCTTTAGATCAAGTAGGTTGACTTAGCGCGCGAGAGAGACAGGGATAGTGAGAGTTTAATGTCAACTCGAAACAAACTAGGTCATTTCGGGACTAACATATGGTTTCATTTTTATTTCAATAAAAAACCCACGAGGTTGGACAGTCGACCCTACTCCTTGTTACGCACAACTGGGGAATCGAAACCACGCCAGTTGATTCAATGACAGGCTTTTTAAGACCTGAGACTCGGTAAATATGTTGGGATTGTTCGTAAAATATACACAAATATTGGTATTGATAGTTTAAACTAAAATGACCAATAGAATTAATGGCACCGTCATTAATATTATAATATCAATTCGAATTTTATTTTTAATTTGTTTTTACAGGAATCTCTTCGTATATTGGCTCAATGAACGCCGCTGGTGCTAGTAAGTTTTATTAAATCCAAAAACTTTAGATTAACTCAAATAAGGCAAAAATAATATGAAAGTCACTTGCGAAACGAAGACGTTATCTTTATAATCTGTTATTTTGAAAATATGACTACTAAGATAGATACAGCTAAGGTTGGTTTTTTTAGGTGGTACTTATGTTGATCCTGTTGCCACTCTTTCTGCTGGGGCTGGCACTACTTCCTACGCTGGCTCACAAAATAATGCAGCTTCCGGTGAGTTATATTTCAAATACAAGAATTACTGTAAATCGATAATTATTTTTAAAAGATATACAGATAAAGTTGACTTTTATAGGTGGTGTTTGTGTTGATCCTGCTGCCATTCTTACTGCTGGATCTGATCAATTTATATTTGGCCATCTCTTGGGAAATGTAGACGTAGTTTGCATGGCAACCGCTTGTTATCTTTATAATCTGTTTATCTCATATGGCGCTCATGACATATTATCTCATCATTGTTGGTTTCTACTTATCTTAACACAATTTATCCAGTTTTCTTTCGTGGAGCATTGATTTATTATGTTAAAATGATATAATACCATCAAGCATTAAACAAAGCATCATTCGACAATTATCTTTAACGTTTTGCTTATTATGGTCCTGCCTCTTCTGCTACCGGATCCGGTTAGTTTTATATTATAGATTTAGTGGGAGCGTCGAGGTGGTGCATATGTCATATTTATGATGGTTCACCAATACGTTATGTCTTAAATATATAATTTATAATCTGGAATAAAATTCTTTCTGTGTGCTGGTCCTGCATTCCCGTATTTGCGATCTTGAACGTTCGCAGCCAGAACTGAAACATTCCAACATCATATTTGACATGTTCAATGCAAACGTAACTTGTTAAAACTCCCTATATAATAACAACTTACATCCCACTTCTACTCGTTGCCACTGGCAACCTTTGATAAAACTGTCCTGTTTATTTTCAATGCATGCTTAAAAGTATCCGTGTATCAGAAATATACAGAAAGAGTACTATTCATTTCTGATACACGGATACTTTTATACTGTTTTAGATACCTATCAAGCAATAAGTAGCGGACGTTTAGTCCGACCCAGATCGCAATTGATAACGATGGCTCTCTACAATGCACAAGGATAATGTACATGAGAGAGAGAGAGATGTGGGGTTTAACGTCCACTCGACACAAACTAGGTCATTTTGGGACTAACATCTGGTTCAATTTTATTTCCGTAATTCGCTTGCGCGTAGGGGTCTTTAGCAGTGGGAGGAAACCGGAGGACCCGGAGAAAACCCACGAGGTTGGACGGGCGACCCTACTCCTTGTCACGTACAACCGGGAATTTGAAACCACGCCAGTTGACTCAATGACAGATTTAATGATACAGCGCGCACGTGCTAACCACTAAGCCATCCAACCCCTATTATGTACATGAAACAACTAGTCAAAATCATAGTAACAAAACAAACCGGGTGGGGGGGGGACTACATGGCAGTTCAAAAACATATACAATGACATTAAATTAACATAACAACATATTACAAAAATCAATTATTATACATATCAATTGGCATCTATTTCATAATTTGGTTTGATTTATATTAATATGCAAAATATATAAATTAGAATATTGAATAATTATTTTAATTAATTGTGATGATAGAAGGCGCAGTTCTCTTGCTGGACACTTCACAGGCATTAAAAATAAGTAGGATGAAAAAAACGCTAGAAAGTCATAAACTTTATTACAAATAAATTTCAACGGAAGAACCATCCGCCGATGCATACTTTCACCAGGAATGGCCCACGTTTCGCATTTCCTTTACACTACATTTAATAATATCGCAGTCCTCTGCGCCATAGACACATTGTTTTGACGATGTGGTCTAAACAAACACGTGATTGTTTTACTCAGAGTATCATAGCAAGACGCACGTGTAAAAACTACTCACTGCGAAATCATTCTACCATGAAATGTAACGTGAGGCTCAGAAAGGGATAAATGAAAGAGCAGAAAGTATTTGTCACTTTTCGGTTGAAACGACTCGATAATAAATACTGTTTTTCACATTTTGCTTCACAATACTCGATAGAAATGTGATGTAAGTAACTTATTAGCACCTCCGCCTCGGCTGGGCCCCTCGACCAAAACTGTCCTGATATTCACCGATACACCTCGGAAAGTGTGCTAATAACTATTACATAATCATGGTTAATGTTATATTTTGTTTTCATATTCTGATACAACTTTTTTATACGACCATCTACAGATTACACCTAAAACTAGATTTTTGAATGTCTCAAATGTATTGCATGTGACATCATTCGATAGACCCTGGCCAAACGAATAACAGTTATGAATTGTCAACCCATAAGTAGCATTATTTTATCCATCTTCTTTTTTAAAGGTGCTACGATAGCCTACAAAATGATGCAGCTTCCGCTAAGTTATATTTCAATAAATATTAATACATGGCTTGTGTCGTTGAAATACAATAATTACTATAACTCGATTATTATTTTAAAAGATATACAGCTAAACTTGATTTTATAGGTGGTGCTTATGTTGATCCTGCTGCTGGAGCTGGTGAGTTTCATTTTTATGTTTTATTTTTTATCTATATACTTAAAGGGACAATAACACTCTGGCTGGCTTGACAGCTCCAGAAAATAACAGAATAGCCTTATTCTAAGTACTAGATGTGTTAGTGTCTTACCTGTTGTGTAAATTATCCATTAAATCATATTTTACTTGTCCAGAGGGTCACATTTGAAAAGCTTTACGTCAGGCTATCACCTATTAATTGGAATATTGTAAAATAGTACAATTTGTTGACCAGAATAAAGATTGGGACATATTATTCAGTTACAACAAGAGTAGTATTGAGCCTTTAAACACAATATAGCCCTTGTGCATGGGTAGTTAATTTGATTTTTATAATGATGTTATACCATTAACCATTAAACAATAATATCATTGGACAATTATGTTAAAGGTACTGCTTATTACGGTCCTGCATCTTCTGCTATCGGGTCTGCTTAGTTTGATATTATTGATCTATTGGGAGGGACGATATATCTTTGCAAACATAAAATAATAACATTACCATTAACTTTTAAATCAAATACCACTCAAAACAATATTATTATCGATGAAATGAAAATGGAGAAAAATAAAATCTCAACATAAAGTCCATGGGCCATTATCCCGAATGGTAATTAGAGTTAAAACATGTTTACGTATTCTTTATTCCCTCAGAGTTAACTCCTCGTATCACATATATCTAAGATATGATTTTTTAAAAGATATAGTGCTAAATTTCATGTTTTTTAGGTATTGGTTATGTTGACCCTGTCACTCTTACCGCTGGAAATGGTAAGTTTTATATTTATCTCTAGAGTGTTAAATTATTACTTTAAATTGAAATACTACAATTAACCGACAATTATCTTTATTATTACGGTCTTGTCGGATCTGCATAATTTGATATTATTGATCTATTGGGAGCGACCACATGGCGCTAATGACATAATATTATTGATCTATATGGAGCGAAGAAGTAATGCTCATGTCATGTCGATAATTTTTGTTCATACAATTTTTGCGATATACAGTCCATGGACACTGTACAACCCCAGGTCACAAGTTTTTTTCCGATTTTGATTATCATGTCGATAATAACGATTTCCCGACCTTTCGTTCCACAGATATACCCCCTTAGCTAAAAACCTCGTGAATGCGATAGAAATGAAATGAAATGGGGTTTAACGTCCTTCTGTTTTGCTTCGAACTAGTTTTAGTTTAAACAATATTTTATTCGTTTGAAAAGGATTGAACAACAGGCAAAGCCTATATAAGTTCTTTCCCAGGGATACAGAAAATAATAAACGATAAAAATAACATATACATAAAAATAAAATTAAATATAATAAATTGTAAAACCGAACATATATACAGTTTCATGTGGAAATGATATATACGATGCAATTTTTTGATATTATACAACAATATTATGTAAAAGCGAATCAAAATCTTTGAGTACTTTTAATAAAATAATAGACTGCTTAAAAAATCAAGATATTGGAGGTGTTCGAAAGATCTGTAGAGCCATTTAAAATTAGATCTAGATTAATAGTTTCTGTGAATACCTTTAATGAATTTAATAGTTCCATTCTGATAGCTGAATAAGATGGACAAGAGAAGAAAAAGTGGAAATTATCTTCATCCGAAGAATTGCATTTTGGACATTTTTTTGATTCAGATAGGTAGTGGTGGAAAAGATGATTATTGAGATTACTAGATTTATTTCTTAACTGACAGTGAATGATATTTTCCTTACGGTTTCCATAATGAAAGTAACTAGGTTTTTTTATGTATAGGATACTGACTCAGGAGACTAGACTTAAAAGTATTGAGAGACGGTGATAACTGCACATGCGTAGGAAGACTATTCCATAGTTTTATTTTATATAAGACGTTTTACATTGTGGTATTTTCAATTTATGGTTTCTAAGATTGTAATAATTTGTTTCGGGTTGTATTTCCATTAGAATATCGGATAGATACTGGGGACTATAGCAATTAAGGATTTTATAAAAATAGACGAGTTTATGCTTTTGACGGCGTTTGAACAGTGCTTCGAACTGGGCTAATGAAGACAGTGTGCTATGAGGGAAATTTTGCCCGGACAGCGGCACTACGGCCTACTCTTATATCGAATTCCAACTGTCGCCAATGTGTACACGGGACCTCGGTTTTTCGCCCCATCCGAATGGCTAGACATAACTGACAAGGCTTAACCACACCGGAAGAATGCGATAGAGTACGTGGTGTTTAAATAGGACGAACCCTATCAATATTTAACGATCGAGGCTAAAGATATCACTAACATCTTTTTTTTTTCAAATTCGATTTGACGCATTAAGACAATAAGAGTTCTCGATTATCAAATTAAGATATATACAGCTGAAGTTGATCATGGTTAATGTTATATTTTGTTTTCATATTCTGATACAACTTTTTTATACGACCATCTACAGATTACACCTAAAACTAGATTTTTGAATGTCTCAAATGTATTGCATGTGACATCATTCGATAGACCCTGGCCAAACGAATAACAGTTATGAATTGTCAACCCATAAGTAGCATTATTTTATCCATCTTCTTTTTTAAAGGTGCTACGATAGCCTACAAAATGATGCAGCTTCCGCTAAGTTATATTTCAATAAATATTAATACATGGCTTGTGTCGTTGAAATACAATAATTACTGTAACTCGATTATTATTTTAAAAGATATACAGCTAAACTTGATTTTATAGGTGGTGCTTATGTTGATCCTGCTGTTGGAGCTGGTGAGTTTCATATTTATGTTTTATTTTTTATCTATATACTTAAAGGGACAATAACACTCTGGCTGGCTTGACAGCTCTAGAAAATAACAAAATAGCCATATTCTAAGTACTAGATGTGTTAGTGTCTTACCTGTTGTGTAAATTATCCATTAAATCATATTTTACTTGTCCAGAGGGTCACATTTGAAAAGCTTTACGTCAGGCTATCACCTATTAATTGGAATATTGTAAAATAGTACAATTTGTTGACCAGAATAAAGATTGGGACATATTATTCAGTTACAACAAGAGTAGTATTGAGCCTTTAAACACAATTTAGCCCTTGTGCATGGGTAGTTAATTTGATTTTTAAAATGATGTTATACCATTAACCATTCAACAATAATATCATTGGACAATTATGTTAAAGGTACTGCTTATTACGGTCCTGCATCTTCTGCTATCGGGTCTGCTTAGTTTGATATTATTGATCTATTGGGAGGGACGATATATCTTTGCAAACATAAAATAATAACAAAACCATTAACTTTTAAATCAAATACCACTCAAAACAATATTATTATCGATGAAATGAAAATGGAGAAAAATAAAATCTCAACATAAAAGTCCATGGGCCATTATCCCGAATGGTAATTGGAGTTAAAACATGTTTACGTATCTCTATTCCCTCAGAGTTAACTCCTCGTATCACATATATCTAAGATATGATTTTTTAAAAGATATAGTGCTAAATTTCATGTTTTTTAGGTACTGGTTATGTTGACCCTGTCACTCTTACCGCTGGAAATGGTAAGTTTTATATTTATCTCTAAGAGTGTTAAATTATTACTTTAAATTGAAATACTACAATTAACCGACAATTATCTTTATTATTACGGTCTTGTCGGATCTGCATAATTTGATATTATTGATCTATTGGGAGCGACCACATGGCGCTAATGACATAATATTATTGATCTATATGGAGCGAAGAAGTAATGCTCATGTCATGTCGATAATTTTTGTTCATACAATTTTTGCGATATACAGTCCATGGACACTGTACAACCCCAGGTCACAAGTTTTTTTCCGATTTTGATTATCATGTCGATAATAACGATTTCCCGACCTTTCGTTCCACAGATATACCCCCTTAGCTAAAAACCTCGTGAATGCGATAGAAATGAAATGAAATGGGGTTTAACGTCCTTCTGTTTTGCTTCGAACTAGTTTTAGTTTAAACAATATTTTATTCGTTTGAAAAGGATTGAACAACAGGCAAAGCCTATATAAGTTCTTTCCCAGGGATACAGAAAATAATAAACGATAAAAATAACATATACATAAAAATAAAATTAAATATAATAAATTGTAAAACCGAACATATATACAGTTTCATGTGGAAATGATATATACGATGCAATTTTTTGATATTATATAACAATATTATGTAAAAGCGAATCAAAATCTTTGAGTACTTTTAATAAAATAATAGACTGCTTAAAAAATCAAGATATTGGAGGTGTTCGAAAGATCTGTAGAGCCATTTAAAATTAGATCTAGATTAATAGTTTCTGTGAATACCTTTAATGAATTTAATAGTTCCATTCTGATAGCTGAATAAGATGGACAAGAGAAGAAAAAGTGGAAATTATCTTCATCCGAAGAATTGCATTTTGGACATTTTTTTGATTCAGATAGGTAGTGGTGGAAAAGATGATTATTGAGATTACTAGATTTATTTCTTAACTGACAGTGAATGATATTTTCCTTACGGTTTCCATAATGAAAGTAACTAGGTTTTTTATGTATAGGATACTGACTCAGGAGACTAGACTTAAAAGTATTGAGAGACGGTGATAACTGCACATGCGTAGGAAGACTATTCCATAGTTTTATTTTATATAAGACGTTTTACATTGTGGTATTTTCAATTTATGGTTTCTAAGATTGTAATAATTTGTTTCGGGTTGTATTTCCATTAGAATATCGGATAGATACTGGGTACTATAGCAATTAAGGATTTTATAAAAATAGACGAGTTTATGCTTTTGACGGCGTTTGAACAGTGCTTCGAACTGGGCTAATGAAGACAGTGTGCTATGAGGGAATATTTGCCCGGACAGCGGCACTACGGCCTACTCTTATATCGAATTCCAACTGTCGCCAATGTGTACACGGGACCTCGGTTTTTCGCCCCATCCGAATGGCTAGACATAACTGACAAGGCTTAACCACACCGGAAGAATGCGATAGAGGACGTGGTGTTTAAATAGGACGAACCCTATCAATATTTAACGATCGAGGCTAAAGATATCACTAACATCTTTTTTTTTTCAAATTCGATTTGACGCATTAAGACAATAAGAGTTCTCGATTATCAAATTAAGATATATACAGCTGAAGTTGATCATGGTTAATGTTATATTTTGTTTTAATATTCTGATACAACTTTTGTATACGACCATCTACAGATTACACCTAAAACTAGATTTTTGAATGTCTCAAATGTATTGCATGTGACATCATTCGATAGACCCTGGCCAAACGAATAAAAGTTATGAATTGTCAACCCATAAGTAGCATTATTTTATCCATCTTCTTTTTTAAAGGTGCTACGATAGCCTACAAAATGATGCAGCTTCCGCTAAGTTATATTTCAATAAATATTAATACATGGCTTGTGTCGTTGAAATACAATAATTACAATAATTATTATTTTAAAAGATATACAGCTAAACTTGATTTTATAGGTGGTGCTTATGTTGATCCTGCTGTTGGAGCTGGTGAGTTTCATATTTATGTTTTATTTTTTATCTATATACTTAAAGGGACAATAACACTCTGGCTGGCTTGACAGCTCTAGAAAATAACAAAATAGCCATATTCTAAGTACTAGATGTGTTAGTGTCTTACCTGTTGTGTAAATTATCCATTAAATCATATTTTACTTGTCCAGAGGGTCACATTTGAAAAGCTTTACGTCAGGCTATCACCTATTAATTGGAATATTGTAAAATAGTACAATTTGTTGACCAGAATAAAGATTGGGACATATTATTCAGTTACAACAAGAGTAGTATTGAGCCTTTAAACACAATTTAGCCCTTGTGCATGGGTAGTTAATTTGATTTTTAAAATGATGTTATACCATTAACCATTCAACAATAATATCATTGGACAATTATGTTAAAGGTACTGCTTATTACGGTCCTGCATCTTCTGCTATCGGGTCTGCTTAGTTTGATATTATTGATCTATTGGGAGGGACGATATATCTTTGCAAACATAAAATAATAACATTACCATTAACTTTTAAATCAAATACCACTCAAAACAATATTATTATCGATGAAATGAAAATGGAGAAAAATAAAATCTCAACATAAAGTCCATGGGCCATTATCCCGAATGGTAATTAGAGTTAAAACATGTTTACGTATTCTTTATTCCCTCAGAGTTAACTCCTCGTATCACATATATCTAAGATATGATTTTTTAAAAGATATAGTGCTAAATTTCATGTTTTTTAGGTATTGGTTATGTTGACCCTGTCACTCTTACCGCTGGAAATGGTAAGTTTTATATTTATCTCTAGAGTGTTAAATTATTACTTTAAATTGAAATACTACAATTAACCGACAATTATCTTTATTATTACGGTCTTGTCGGATCTGCATAATTTGATATTATTGATCTATTGGGAGCGACCACATGGCGCTAATGACATAATATTATTGATCTATATGGAGCGAAGAAGTAATGCTCATGTCATGTCGATAATTTTTGTTCATACAATTTTTGCGATATACAGTCCATGGACACTGTACAACCCCAGGTCACAAGTTTTTTTCCGATTTTGATTATCATGTCGATAATAACGATTTCCCGACCTTTCGTTCCACAGATATACCCCCTTAGCTAAAAACCTCGTGAATGCGATAGAAATGAAATGAAATGGGGTTTAACGTCCTTCTGTTTTGCTTCGAACTAGTTTTAGTTTAAACAATATTTTATTCGTTTGAAAAGGATTGAACAACAGGCAAAGCCTATATAAGTTCTTTCCCAGGGATACAGAAAATAATAAACGATAAAAATAACATATACATAAAAATAAAATTAAATATAATCAATTGTAAAACCGAACATATATACAGTTTCATGTGGAAATGATATATACGATGCAATTTTTTGATATTATACAACAATATTATGTAAAAGCGAATCAAAATCTTTGAGTACTTTTAATAAAATAATAGACTGCTTAAAAAATCAAGATATTGGAGGTGTTCGAAAGATCTGTAGAGCCATTTAAAATTAGATCTAGATTAATAGTTTCTGTGAATACCTTTAATGAATTTAATAGTTCCATTCTGATAGCTGAATAAGATGGACAAGAGAAGAAAAAGTGGAAATTATCTTCATCCGAAGAATTGCATTTTGGACATTTTTTTGATTCAGATAGGTAGTGGTGGAAAAGATGATTATTGAGATTACTAGATTTATTTCTTAACTGACAGTGAATGATATTTTCCTTACGGTTTCCATAATGAAAGTAACTAGGTTTTTTTATGTATAGGATACTGACTCAGGAGACTAGACTTAAAAGTATTGAGAGACGGTGATAACTGCACATGCGTAGGAAGACTATTCCATAGTTTTATTTTATATAAGACGTTTTACATTGTGGTATTTTCAATTTATGGTTTCTAAGATTGTAATAATTTGTTTCGGGTTGTATTTCCATTAGAATATCGGATAGATACTGGGGACTATAGCAATTAAGGATTTTATAAAAATAGACGAGTTTATGCTTTTGACGGCGTTTGAACAGTGCTTCGAACTGGGCTAATGAAGACAGTGTGCTATGAGGGAAATTTTGCCCGGACAGCGGCACTACGGCCTACTCTTATATCGAATTCCAACTGTCGCCAATGTGTACACGGGACCTCGGTTTTTCGCCCCATCCGAATGGCTAGACATAACTGACAAGGCTTAACCACACCGGAAGAATGCGATAGAGTACGTGGTGTTTAAATAGGACGAACCCTATCAATATTTAACGATCGAGGCTAAAGATATCACTAACATCTTTTTTTTTTCAAATTCGATTTGACGCATTAAGACAATAAGAGTTCTCGATTATCAAATTAAGATATATACAGCTGAAGTTGATCATGGTTAATGTTATATTTTGTTTTCATATTCTGATACAACTTTTTTATACGACCATCTACAGATTACACCTAAAACTAGATTTTTGAATGTCTCAAATGTATTGCATGTGACATCATTCGATAGACCCTGGCCAAACGAATAACAGTTATGAATTGTCAACCCATAAGTAGCATTATTTTATCCATCTTCTTTTTTAAAGGTGCTACGATAGCCTACAAAATGATGCAGCTTCCGCTAAGTTATATTTCAATAAATATTAATACATGGCTTGTGTCGTTGAAATACAATAATTACTGTAACTCGATTATTATTTTAAAAGATATACAGCTAAACTTGATTTTATAGGTGGTGCTTATGTTGATCCTGCTGTTGGAGCTGGTGAGTTTCATATTTATGTTTTATTTTTTATCTATATACTTAAAGGGACAATAACACTCTGGCTGGCTTGACAGCTCTAGAAAATAACAAAATAGCCATATTCTAAGTACTAGATGTGTTAGTGTCTTACCTGTTGTGTAAATTATCCATTAAATCATATTTTACTTGTCCAGAGGGTCACATTTGAAAAGCTTTACGTCAGGCTATCACCTATTAATTGGAATATTGTAAAATAGTACAATTTGTTGACCAGAATAAAGATTGGGACATATTATTCAGTTACAACAAGAGTAGTATTGAGCCTTTAAACACAATTTAGCCCTTGTGCATGGGTAGTTAATTTGATTTTTAAAATGATGTTATACCATTAACCATTCAACAATAATATCATTGGACAATTATGTTAAAGGTACTGCTTATTACGGTCCTGCATCTTCTGCTATCGGGTCTGCTTAGTTTGATATTATTGATCTATTGGGAGGGACGATATATCTTTGCAAACATAAAATAATAACAAAACCATTAACTTTTAAATCAAATACCACTCAAAACAATATTATTATCGATGAAATGAAAATGGAGAAAAATAAAATCTCAACATAAAAGTCCATGGGCCATTATCCCGAATGGTAATTGGAGTTAAAACATGTTTACGTATCTCTATTCCCTCAGAGTTAACTCCTCGTATCACATATATCTAAGATATGATTTTTTAAAAGATATAGTGCTAAATTTCATGTTTTTTAGGTACTGGTTATGTTGACCCTGTCACTCTTACCGCTGGAAATGGTAAGTTTTATATTTATCTCTAAGAGTGTTAAATTATTACTTTAAATTGAAATACTACAATTAACCGACAATTATCTTTATTATTACGGTCTTGCCGGATCTGCATAATTTGATATTATTGATCTATTGGGAGCGATCACATGGCGCTAATTTTCTTAGGTGGTGCCTTTATTTATCCTGCTACCACACATACAGAGGGGGTTGTTGAGTTTTACCTGTTAGCTTTTATCCCTATATCTTATCCCGTTTTCATGACGGGTTCATTTAATGCTTTATAATTATGCAATACCATAATATCATTGGACAATTATCTTTAACGTCCTGTTTATTACGGTCCTGTCTCTTCTGCTACCGAGTCTGGTTAGTTTGATATTATTGACATTCGATAAAGAGTTGGCAGTTCTCACTATAATAGTTAAAAACTAAATAATGTAAAGGCAATTTGCTGAAAATTTCATTCAAATCGATCCACTATGAACCGAGAACAAAGCGATGAAATTTCCGCCTAGCCTTGATCATCATTACTAAAGTCAGTACGATAAACAACATAGTCTCGATTATCCATTTAATCGTTAAATCGTGAAGGAAAGTTATGCAGTAAATCGGCTCACAATCCACTAAAGATCACAGGCTATAATAGTTAAAAACTAGATAATATAAAGGCAATTTTCTGAAAATTTCATTCAAATCGATCCACTATGAACCAAGAACAAAGCGATTAAATTTTAGCCTAGCCTTGATCATCATTACTAAAGTCAGTACGATAAACAGCATAGTCTCGATTATCCATTTAATCGTTAAATCGTGAAGGAAAGTTATGCAGTAAATCGGCTCACAATCCACTAAAGTTGGCAGGCTAGCGATGCCATCTAGAGTTGATTATAGTCTGGATAGGTTAATTAATGTCTAATTAATAATTTAGATATAACATTTCAGGCCTAAAGAAAGACCTGCAATAGACAGATTTAGCTCTTGCATAATGTATGTTCAAGGGTTTTAAATGATTTTCAATTGAAAGAAATATATAATTCAATGCCTGTAATAATTCATTCCGTGCTCCTGTCCGTCCTTCAACTACATTCAATCTAGAACTTTCGCAGTAAGAACAGATTTAGCACTAGGATCTGTCAATGCAAATACATTATTTAAGTGGTGATTATGTCATGCTCATGCGGGTTCATCAATGCAACTAAAACGTATTCAAGTGCATTGATATGTTATCCCCTTTTTCTAGAACAAAAGGTGGGCATGTACGACATTACCAAATAGACAAATGGAGATACAGTTATGAGTTACAGATCAATTATTAACAAACTTCTAAATTATTACATTGGTTACATTGTTTCAGGTTGATTAAAATTTATACTGATAATAATAATAATATTGTGACTTTCAGTGCCAATATTGATGCCGTTCAATATTGATGACTTAATAAATGACTATACACTGTACTTTTAATAAGGTTTTGGAAATACTGTGTAATGCGCTTTATTTTATGATCAGTAGTGGAATACCGCATTTTATCAGTGAAATAAAAATGTTATTCAACTAGCTAAAGTAGTCCATGTTTTTTTTACCTAAAATGATTGTAAAATCATAAAAGTTTTGTCTAAGCAAGAAAACGTTTATATTTTCACTCATGCTACGCATTCGTGAAAATATAAGTTTTCTTGCTTCTCGATGAAATAAAATATGTTATTCACTCTAAAACGACAAATATCCTCTATATAGGAGGGTGGGGTGAAATCAATGATATAGTATGGTACATAATAAATTAATATCAATCTTCGCTTTTAAAGAAGTGTTAGTGACTTTCTATATTTATAAACCATGGATAGCAAATGAAAAAATATTATGAGATGTGTACTTTGTAGGTACTTGTTTTTTTCTAAACCTAGTACTTTATAGTTACAATGAGTTGTTGATTTAAAGTTTACTTATAAATTTGTAATAACAATAAGTTTACTTGAATTTTCTGAAGCTAGCACTTTATAATTGCTATGTGTTATTGATAAATTTCTATTTTTAAAGCTAGCATTTTATAGTTGCAAATGTATAGTTTATGTGTCCCAATTACTAAAGAATGTATACTTGATAAGTTTACTTGTATTTTCTAAAGCTAGCACTTTAAACATGGAGAAGTAATTTAATGATATAACACCATTAAACATTAAGAACTAATATCATTGGACAATTATCTTTAAGGTCCTGTTTATTACGGTCCTGCTCCTACTCTTGCCGGACCTGGTTAGTTTGATATTATTGATCTATTGGGAGCGACGACATGGAGCTAATGTCATATTTATTATTGATCAACTGGGAGCGACGAAGTGGTGCTCATTGTCATGTCAATGATTATTATATATAATCTGTTATTTGATGAGATACAATTTTTACGATATACAGCATGTGGACATTCTACAGGTCACAAGACTTAGTGTTTATCCGACATAGATGTAACTTCATATCAGATTAAGAATTTATCGCCCCAACAGAACCACTGAGCTGCAAATGCGATACTGCAAGGAAGGGTTGATGAAAACTGCCGCGTGCTGGTTTATCATATCCATGTTTGCTTTCCTATCAGTTCTTGAATAAGATTTACTGTTTAGCGTATCTTTGCTTTAGTGTGTTACATTTAATTTGCAATGAGACGTCTTCAACATGATGAACGTCTACGTGATATTGGCATGTTTCAAATGGGTTCTACACAGCGAACAGTACACAACACTTTTAACTTGTCACAGGCAGACTGTGGAACCAGTACCAACAAACACACACTGTTGATGATAGACCTCGTTCAGGTCGTCCTAGAGCCACTACGCAAGCTCAGGATCGATACATTCGTACACAGGTCCTCCGAAATCTAGGACAAACGGCCAATCAGCCTTTTGTAAACATGTACCAAGTTACAGGAATTAGAAATCGGATACATGCAATCCATTTGCATGCGCGATGAGCGCGTGTTGTGCCTCCATTAATTTGCCAGCACATGTCAAACAGCCGTCAATGGTGTAGGCAGCGTAGAAATTGGGGTAATCATCGATGGGCGCGTGTAATGTTCTCAGCTGAGTCCAGATTTACTCTGGATTTCACCGATAGGTCTGCTCGCGTTTGGAGGCGTGTAAATGAGCGTCATGTTAACGCCAGACAGCGTGGGTCTGTTATGGTGTGGGGGGGAATCACCATGACTGGCAGAACGGACTTGCATATTGTTCAAGGAAGGGTCACTGGTGTGTACTACCGTGACCACATCCTGGCACCGATAGTTCTGCACTTTGCTCAACGTGCAGGTCGACGTTTCATCTTTCAAGATGATAATGCCCGTGCCCACCGCGCTCCTGTCGTGTCACCATATTGTCCATATGCCTCGGTCAGCTATGAGTCCTGACCTTTCCCCTATAGAGCATGCCTGGGACATGATCGGGAGACGTGTTCGTCGACGTCAACGTCAACCGACAACACTGCAAGGATTGGCCGTGGCACTGCAAGAGGAGTGGGTCAGATTGCCCCAAATCGTGATTGGGCGGTTGATTAGGAGCATGCCACGACGAAGTGCTGATACTCATTATTAAGACAAAAATCAAAAAGGTCCATTTTCACTTTTGACAGTATCTCTTTGCGAGTGAAATGGGGCCGTCAGATAATCCGCAGTTGTTTTATTGTTTCTGAATATCCCCTACTTTTTGAAGAGTATAATATGAAACAAAGCAGTGCAGCTTTACGGTTGTGCTTATATTTTTGGTTGAGTTCGACTGTGGTGCGCAAATTTATGGGTTCTATCCTCTGACCTCACGCGAAATGTTGAATTTGTAAGACGTTTTGTCCGATTTAGATTCGTCCCCCAGTTATAACCCCTTAACTGAAGACTTTGTGAACGCGATATAGGCCATAATTTTTCAAATTTGGTTTGAAGTATTGGGGTCACGAGAGGATGAACGATGTCGATAATAACGGCTTCGCGACCTTTCGTTCCACAGGTATACTCCCTGAAAACTTTGTGAATGGGATAGAGGACATCGTTTTGAAATTTGGTGTGACGCACTGGGTTATGAGAGCACGAACCCTATCGATATATAACGTTCCATAACATTCCGGTGAAACGTTGCCACCCTTTGTTGACAACCCGAAGAACGCGATGGGGGCTGTTTTAACGGATTGTTTTCAAATTCGGTGAGAAACATTGTGGTCATGAGCGGAGGAACCCTATTGGTATTCAGCGTTCAGTGACATTCAGTTCAGGAGTTACCTCCCTCTTCCGAAAACCTTGTGAACGCGATAGAGGCTACAGATATCTTTTGTTTCGATCTATCGACCTGTTTCGCTGTTTTCGGTCCATATATTGCGAATAGTAGACGTATTGTGCATGACAACCGCTTGTTATCTTTAGGATATGTTATTAAAAAAATGACTATTAAGATATATACAGCGAAAGTTGATTTTTTTTAGGTGGTGCTTATGTTGACCCTGCTGCCACCCTTACTGCAACTACGTACGTTGGCCCACAAAACAATGCAGCTACCGGTGAGTTATATTTCAAGTACAAGAATTACTGTAACTCGATAATTATTTTTAAAAGATATACAGATAAGGTTGTTTTTTATAGGTTGTGCTTATGTTGATCCTGTTGCCATTCTTACTGCTGGAACTGGTCAATTTATATTTGTCCATCTCTTGCGAAATGAAGACGTAGTTTGCATGGCAACTGGTTGTTATCTTTATAATCTGTTATTTTAAAAATATGACTACTAAGATAGATACAGCTAAGGTTGTTTTTTAGGTGGTGCTTTTGTTGATCCTGTTGCCACTCTTTCTGCTGGGGCTGGGACTACGTCCTACGCTGGCTCACAAAACAATGTAGCTTCCGGTGAGTTATATTTATTATTAAAAGATATAGCGATAAAGTTGATTTTTATGTTATATTTATTATTAAAAGATATACCGATAAAGTTGATTTTTTTATAGGTGGTGCTTATGTTGATCCTGCTGCCATTCTTACTGCAAGAGCTGGTGAATTTATATTTGCCCATCTCGTGCTAAATGTAGACGTAGTTTGCATGGCAACCGCTTGTTATCTTTATAATATATTATTTTAAAAATATGACTACTAAGATGGATACAGCTAAGGTGTTTTTTTTAGGTGGTGCTTATGTTGATCCTGCTGCCACTCAATATGCTGGGGCTCCAGGTGAGTTACATTTTAATTAAGAAAATAAATATTAATACATATGACTCGTGTCTTTAAAGTACAATAATTACTGTAACTCGATAATTATTTTTAAAAGATATACAGCTAAACTTGATTTTTATGGGTGGTGCTTATGTTGATCCTTCTGCCATTCTTACTGCTGGGGCTGGTGAATTTTATATTTATATAGCTTTTATCCTGTGGGCATGATTATAATACCGTTAAACAATAAGATCTGTCAATGCAGAGAAATTATATAAGTGGTGATTATGTCATGGTTATGTGGGTTCATCAATACAACTAAAACTTATTCAAGAACATTGGTATGCTAGCCTTTTTTCTAGGCCTAAAGGTGGATATGTACGACATTACCAAATAGACAAATGGAGATACATTTACGAATTACATTTCAATTATTACCAAACTTATAAATTATTACATTCTCCTTATTTGCTTCAGGTTCTACGTCATATGTTGACCCAGTACCTGCAGGCTCTGGTAAGTTTATTACATTTAATAAAATGCATACTTATATTAATATCGTGCAGCTAACTATTGATTAAACCCTAGTGTTTGAAATCATCGATATAATTTTAATGTAATATATCAGTATATAATATTGTAATTATTATTCACTTTTAGTGGATAATAAAATTAATAATCATTATTATAAAAAGTGTACTTTACAGCTACAAGGTATTTTGATTATATACTTGCATTTTCTAAAGCTAGTTCTCCTATAGTTACAATGTATTTTGACTTGTATTTTCTTTAATTTCTAAAGCTGCTACCTCCTATACTACAGTGAATAATGCCGGCCAAGGTATGTTTTACACATTCAAATTTATAACAATATGAACAAGACACTAAATGTATTTAAGTTTTATACATCATATTGACTCTAAAGAACGGTTGTCTCTTTTTATTATTGAAAATCCAAGCACTCGTCTGTAATAGATGAGGGTATTTTACATGAACCTTCACTGAACATCTATAGACTATAGGCCCTAATGTATAATACAACGTTTCTATCCCAGTGATGGATTAGCATATATGTCTCGAATTTTGCATGCAATCTAATTTGGACACCACGTATGTAATCATTTCGAAGGAAAAGGTTTTACCGATCGGCGAAGCTCTCCAACAAGCTAGTCTATCTTTAGTCAAAAACGCTATACTGCGGTTACAACCCAATTATGGCAAATCGTAATAGTGTGCTTATATGACCAAAACAATCAAATATGGCGTCTAAAATTAGACAATAACTGTTATTAATGATCACAACGTCAGTAACAATTATGGATTTTATTTTATAATTTTGGACCAATCCGAGGTTGTCTTTTTTATAAGGGATACTTTTTACTTATGACAAGCTATTCCTTTGTGTTACTAATAATTTGAATTGAAAAGAATTCGAAACGCCATTTAATAAAGCACTAATCTTATTTGTTCTCCTTTTTTGGCGTAACAGTAGTAAATACCAATCTCCATTCAGGTCAGTTGAAGAATGAATTTATTTAAGCATTTTGTGAACAATCCCCTTGATTGTAAAATCTAGTACCAGAAATCTTTAATGTAATTTGGAATAAACCCTATTCAACTAATAAATAATTAATTCGAGAAAAAAACCTATTAAGTATGATTTTGTCGAGACTAAAAAAATTGAATTGATCTCGAAGATAAAACAACATAAACAATTCTTGAGTGAAGTACCACTCCATGTAAGTCTCACACGGGCGGGTGTTACCCTTGCGTAGGTAGTGTGTGGACTGAATCTGTGGTGACACCTACGTAACGTGTACGTCAGATGACGCAATCATAGCGCCTCCGCAAGTGGTGCATGAGTCGTCCGAATATGTGTAGTAGCGCTTATAGTGACGCAGACATTGCGTTGCTTGAGACATGCCTGGCTGCGTCAATTGCTGCAAAATCTGACGCAAGTACTGTGGTAGTACATATGCTACGTCTCACAACACTGCGGCAGCACATGCGTCACGTATCATAACACAGCGCTACTATTTGCGATACCTTCGCGTAACGCCGAATTTGGCAAAATGTACGCCACCCAACTACCGACACACACCTTGCGCTACTTTGGTCACACACGGCGCATAATATACTCATATACCTACGCTAGATTTCGAAGATGTGACGCTGAACAGTGACACACTCGTTGAGACAGGCTATACACCTTAATGTTACCCATATTTCCTATACATATAAAAATACAATCTAATCATTTGTCTTCTGCTAACAGACATCATTTTAACACATATTCATTTCATTTCATTTCAGCTGGAAGCTTTATCGGCGTATAAAATAATATATTTATGAAATAAATGGTTTTAACCATTAAAATAAAATTGTAGCGTTATTTATTTATGTTTTTATTTCATAATTTGCGGCGTAAAAGAAATTGCGTCACAAACTATTGAAACGTGATTCGTGGATAAAGATACCAGTTGGAATGATAGAATGCGTCCTGTAAGGGAATCTCAAATAACCCATCCTGTGTCCCTATTAACCACCATAGGACTATGGTTCTATAGCACTTCCCATTCTGTGTAGTTCAGAAATCCTTTTCATTGGCACAGCTAGATACTCAATCTTGGGGACACAAAACATTTTCCCTGTAAAAGTAAGAAATGTTCAAATTTGAACAACCTTGTAATATTGTCGGATCATATTTTCTTGTCGTGATAAATTATTTCAAAATGAAGACATTAGTGCTGTTTTGAAGTTTGGGGCATATGTAATACAAAAATAGAAGATAAACTGAGTAAAATGTTTCTTGTCTCCTGGGTAGAGATAGCCATAGCCATGTTCAAATACTGAAAACCAGATAATGAAAATGCCTTGGGTTTCTCAGGTGTAGTACTACAGTAAAATGTTTCAAATAACGTAAACGTAATTCTCCGTGTGCTTTGGGTATTGACACCCTGATAAATAATTATACAGAGAAATTGAATAACCTCATTTAATCCAATAGTAACTTGAACAACCCAGGTCACTCACCTTATCTGGTTTTCAAATAAGAGAGCAAGACTAATTTAAAAAGACCACTAACGGCTGTATGTACCAGAATATAAGAGATATCATGGGCAGTAACACCAGTATCTGATACATGTGTATTTTATTTAGTTTCATCTTCATTAGCTCGGTCGGTGCAGCAACGCATTACGTTCGGCCACATTTAATTTCATTCACTTAGTTAACTGCTACTACTATACCAATTTGTGAAAGTCTACTTATCTATCCTCACGTCCTCCACCCCTCCACCATTTCCACTCATAATGACTGAAAGATAATAAAACGTAACCCCGTCTGAATTTCAGCTACATTTCTGCAATTAGCGTTTGCAGCTGGCAAAAAATATCGCACGCAGTTAAACTATTATATGACCTTCATATATAAAATAAGAATCTGAATAGCGCGCTATTGCTCACGCTCATTGATATGCGCATTGTAAGATTGCCGCCCAGCATTTACTGAACTAAAATACTAAACAACCCACATAACGTTTGGAACATCTTAATCTGCTAAACTGCGCTTAACAGGACTGAACAATTTTAATTTTTGTTAAAAACACCAAAGCGTTGATTTGCTGTAATTGATGTGTTGTATTAGGAAAGGCTTTATATTTTGTCCAGAACTCAGATAAGCCTATTAATACGTACATTAAAGCATAAGTAGACAGATTGTGTAATTGCTCGGACAATTCAATCGGAAAATGCCTGACCAATAACTAATTGAATAAAAGGTATTCACATGCGATCCAGGCAGGTGGTCTTTCCATGTTGTTAACATCTGGGTCGTTTTCAAATGGCTGTATAGGGCTAGGGTTAGTGTTATAATTGGCTAAGCTTAAATATGAATAAAACATTTATTTCAGGGAATACCTATACGTTATGAACCTTTTTCTAAGCTACACTAGTAAACTAGTAGCTACAAGTACTGAACACAAAATATATATGAATACAGTGTAAACGTGTCCCGCAAACTGGTTAACTATGGACACGGGGACTAGTCTACTTGTTCAAACCATCAATACATAAATTTTCAAAGTTATACATTTAACCGTAGCTTCGTTTTTCTCTTTCCTAAAGATTCTTTAGCTTACAGAGGTATTAAATGCATACCATTATTACAGGAACATAGATATCAATCTGTCCGAATACCCCTACTGCAGTATACTCCCTGGTAGTCTGTATGGTAAACTGAATCGAAGAAGGGTAGATTCTCATTTCGAACGGTGGGGTATTATTTTAAATAATTGTCCGATGAATGAAAATGACGATCCGTGGCTTTATTTGCGAAATGGAAAATGGCATTTGGAATGGAACTTGGTTTGATTGCTTGATTAACACGACTACTGTGGTGCTAGCCCGCCAGCCAGTGTATACTTAGCCCCTTCATGGACAGATATAGCGAGTCCACTATATGTCGTTATTTTGGCCGAATGTGTCCACTGGTTTGGGTTGATTGTGCTTGAATTTTATCCAGGTTAACAGTAGGCGTTAACAAATTCATCAAGGATATACAACGCGTGGCGGAATATGAAAATAGGAAACTTGTCATTACTTTGAATATTAAGCAATATGTTCGCATATTTGTAGAATAATAAATAATAATACAAAATGTCAATCATTTTGACTTTGATGTTCATTAATCATCGTCTATAAAGGTTTTGTAAAATAATAGCTTTATTCTTATAAATTTAAAGATAGGACACAATAAAACTAATAAAGATATCAGATAATTAATCAAATTCTTTAATTGATATGTAATAAACATCTTATTTTAACCATAAAAGAGAAACAAACACACATATCCCTTTATATGTAAGTAACTGTTGCAATGTCTATCTATTGGAAGCGGGTTAATAAAACTTAAAATACAGATGTGACGTCATCCCTTGATGTTGGCTTATTATTATTTCCAGTAATGTACGGGCAACTTGCCAATCGTACATTATCTACACTAGATGAAATATTGGACTCGCGTGGCGTTTTTCATTGAAAATTGTTTAATGGTCTCTGCTAACGCCTCGTGAAGTATCAATACATTACTTAATGTCTCGCTCTCGACCATTAACCCATACTTATTCTTGATTGTTTAAGACATAAATGGAAATTGCATTTTCACGAAAACATTTTAAGGAACGAAAGAACTTGGGCGCGATTTGCTATCAATTTATAAAATAGTTATCGTCTTGTATTTGGTTATACTGAATACTTAACTCTTTTGGGCGCAGCGGGTGTATAATTCATGAATAAATATAGATTTTTAATTAAAGTATTTCCGGGAGAATCAGAAGATTGCATCTGAGTTTTGCTAAATTGTACAGGAGAGTCAACAATTGCATCGAGGTTAAGAATCAAAAGTCGTATGTAAAATGAAGTATTTCTCTAAAGATTTTCTCAAATATTTATGTAAAGAATCAAACTGATTAGAAATCAGATCTATATTTCGTTTCGTTTTTCTTTACTTTCGATGGCCTACACTACATGAAGATCTGATAAGTTGTACTGGAAGGTCGCGTCAGAGGTCATACGCACGCCTTTTGACACAGATTAATCAATCAGCGTTGACGTTTCTAGTGGTTTACCCACTGTTCCTTGCATGGAACGCCAAGAATTCGCCGTAACAGACCGTTTCATTGACTAATCCTTCACTTCAACAAAAACGCCGGTAATATAACAACTCTTCCAGATCCTAGTATAGTAAAGACAAGTAAAACGAAATTTTGAACTATAAAAACGAAACGAAATATGATCTGTGTTTTAATCAGATTGGTAATGAATGAACGTGTGGCCGCTTAAACAGCACGCAGCTATCTGCACATATCGGATGAAACATCTAGTGCAGAAATAATGAGTGAAAGTGTAGCTGGGTTTCCTATTCATTCCTAGTTATTTGCAATCTCTGGAAACAATTCCCCTTTACCTGCTTCAATTTCATAGATATCACACAGTAGAGACTCAACAATAATTTCAATAATACATAACTTACCATAGCTGCTAGTGGATAAATTGCAATTATGGGGAAGATCCTGACCTCTTTCCGAACACCAATATCAAAGACCTAGAAACTGCATCGAGAAATTAGGACTGTGGATGGACTGTAACTATTTAAAATTAAATGGCATGACCATTGGCAACAAGAAATAACATTATATTAAATCCTGTAACCATTGGAAACACAAATATTCCACCAATTGATTGTTAGAAACCTTGGTGTATATTTGGACACAGCACTAAAAACGAAAATACATGTGTCCAACATCAGGAAAGAGGCAAACTTCCATCTGTACAATATTGGAAATATTCGACCATTTTTGATAATGATACCACAAAATTACTGATTAATGCATTTGTTATGCCATCTGTTGATTACTGTAACTCGTTATGGTACAAAATACCTACTTGATCAACTACCAAAAAATTCAGAATAGGGCTGTCAAAATTGTGACCAGGATTACCCTATCTGAACATATTACACCCGTTATAAAAGAACTACATAGCTATCTATTAAACACATGATCAATTTAAAGATAAATACCTTAAAAAAACCACTAAGTTTCTGTGGATCAACAATTACTGTATTTTAATCAATTGTATGCCTGCTATGGAGAAAATGGCAGAAATATGTGTAAATTAGGGGCAAATATAAACGTTCACATGACGGTTAGGTAACTAATATATTTTATAAATAAACCTATTTTAAATGGTAATGTTGTAACTGATCCTTAGATGTTTTTATTAGTTGTGATAAATGTGAATGTCTACATTTTACTGACCTTAAAGTCTCTGTGCGTGATTTGAGCGATTCGAATCCCCTACAAACTTGTAATGTCAGTTCAAAAATGGTTCACGCCAATTCAGTATTTATAAAGATGTGTGGAACTGAAATTCGATTGATCAAGGCTGTCCCATAGTACACCGCCATCTTTATGTTTCGCGAAATATAATTCCAAGCCAAAGATCAACTAGCGTTGATACTTTGGTTTCGTTTCTTAGTACGTAAATGTTTATCAATCTGAGAACATATTAACAAGAATTAAGCCGTGTGATATGTGCTATTTGACATTTACATTAAGATGACACACGTCTGTGGATGCTACGCGACTTAGACAGGTTCGTTACATATAGATAGTACCAGTATATTTCATGATTACGAGAAAAGGGTAAGTGAATTATGCTAATTCTATTCATCAACGTGTAACACAAAACTATAATTCGTAGCAATTTTACACAGGTGCTTTGCTGGGACCAGTCAATTTTCCAAAGCCAACAAGTGGACAGACTGGTATAAAATCAACTACTGGAGTAAGTCAACAGATGAACACAATATCGGCAAGTAAGTGGACACTTATTAATAAATATAAACAGATCCGTACTATTATTAATTACGGAAAAGGCTATGCTGCCTATTAACATATTTGACAGAATAGTTTCAACAGATTCCAAATATAATATACTTTGCCCCCCCCCCCCATACCCACCGAGCCGCTGGATATTCGGTTCGAAGCCTCGTGTTACAGGAGAAATACAAGAAAGCTCAAAAACGACTTATAAAGAACACCTAATTTATTGGAAAAAATTGTACATATATGTTATTTCCGAAATGACCTAGTAGGCGATACGCTCTATGCATTATTGGTGCTTGTGTGTATGTGATGTGAGAGTGCGTGGATAAAGGTACTACTGCAACCTTTTTAAATTTAATTGAATAGAATAATTTAATCATTTCAGCTACCGTTCCCGCAGCATCGTCTAATCAGGTGATAAATACAAATGGCCAAACAGGTAAACTATTAAATTCTTTTTGAATAGATGAATACATACATACCTTATATAATTTCGGTACTGCATTTGTATTTATATCAGCATGCATTAGCCAACAACAACCTTCTGTGGTTTGAATAAAGCCCAATCTCTGATCATTATTGTTTTAAATGACAAAATGATTAACATCGTGATGTTCTTTTGTATCGTAAAGGGCCCTCGGAAAGAAAATATGTTTTGTGTTTTTGATAAATAGCGTAATTTGATATAGGCCTACAATTAGATGTAAACAAAGTCAACAAATGAACAATATCTAAATTAACTTAGAGGCCCTATATAGATTAATTTTGGACACGGTTCTTCTAATTCGTTCTCGAGCCGAACTATTTAGCCCGCTTCCAACACACATAGTTGTTTTATTAATGCGCAGCAGACGATAACATCCAAAGCGAACCTAAATGTCTCAGGAAATCCCTCTGCCACCCAATATACTAATACACCCTTACTTAACATAAATGCTGAATTTAATCAAACCATCCCTAATAAGCAATCAGTATTCAACAAGCATTTAACTAACAAAGATGAGACAGTTGGGTCAGCTGAAACTATCTTTAAAAAATCTTAACTTCTTCCACAGAACACAAATACTGTAGATGGTTCAAAGTCGTATTTGAACAGCGCAAATTCTGTTAGTAGTGTCGGTATATCTGAACAGCCGTTAGCTTCGAACAATATCATTGGACATACTCATATTACCAATATTGGAGTAATAGATCTAGCAAAACTATCCTCTGTGGTTTCAGGATTGACTACAGCACCCAGTTCGAACATTAATGGTCTGTCAACTTTAAACAGCATCGGACAAGCGGGACAGCCCACTTTTAAAACAACAGGTGCGGGGGTAGGACCATCCGTTGCTGGGCAAAGTACAACCAACATAGCCCAAATTTTAACAACTGCTGCACCAATAACCGCCCCGACTTCAAACAGCATCGGATTTAATAAAATCGTAACTCCTTCCACAGGTAAAGCGTCCCCAAAAGGCACAACGCAAACCATGGTAGGAGTTCATTCTGTTGGAAGTCAATCGTCAGTTTCACCAGCTGGACAGACCACAAATACCGTGGTTGGTTCAAAATTATCTTTGAATAGCGCAAATTCTATTAGTAGTGTCGGCATACCGGGACAGCCTGTAGCTTCGAACAACATCGTTGTAAAGTCTGGGCAAAGTACAACCAACAATTTTACAACTGCTTCACCGGTAACCACCCCGAGAACTATTCAGACGATGCCTAATAATACTGGACTTCCGAACTTTAATGTGACACCTACGTCGATTCCAGTTCCAAGTGCTAATCATGGACAAACAACAACATCCCCTACAGGTCAGGCTACACTTAACGTATTTATAGGATCTTCCCATCCCATAAACGAGCATAAACTCATTGAGCAATTGGGACCAGGATACAGCTTTAACAGTACAGAATTAATCGAGTCACATGCGACAAGAGATAGCTTCGGTTCTGGAAATATCTTTACTGATAGTTTAAATGTTAGCATGGCTCAGCCAACTTCTAATGGTATCTTCACTCAAGGCCCCGAAACCATATTTTCAAACACTGAAAACACATTGGCAGGAAAGGTTGTGGGACAAAGTTCGCCCATTGACGTTTTTAATACACCTCTTTCTTCTATTAATATGCATCAGGGTAATACTGAAGGTATAATACGCAACATTTCCCAAACTAACAAGGTATCTGTATTTTTAACACCTTTCGTGTCGGCCTTAACTAATACAGAACCAGCTGTTGGTCATTCCGTGAGCTTCAATGCAGTAATTGGTCTGGCTTCAAAACAAAGGGCTAACAAATCAACAGGTCAGGTATATACATATTTGTGCTCCATATAATATATTTTTGTCCTTCGCCTTTTAGGAGAAAACAGGCAACTGTATGACCGTCACACCTTTTAGAACGTTCTACTTTTTTGTATCAACCGAACTAATGAAGATAGACACACGTCATATGTAGGCGACTATGCTATTTTGGAGAATTTTCACTCTCACCCGCTCTACACCACAGACAAGAGGAAACGTCACCAAAAAAATGAAAATAAAAAACTTTCTTGGTCAACTGCTATTTGGGGGAATTTTCAGTCCCTCCTGCTTTACACCACAGACAAGAGGGAACGTCAGTAAAACAATTCAAACGAACTTTTTTTGGTCAACTGCGGGGACGAACCCGGGTCCTCATAGAGCTACTGTGACTTCGGCTTTTGGATTGGAACATCTAAGAAGACCTAGTCTAGATGTCCATAAGGCCCTTCACTGGGTTCTGTAGGCTAAGCATAGAAAAGCAATTGCACTGACGCGACTGTGGAACCCTCTAATTCTAATCGAGATAGAATGTTCGACCTTGGTGTAGATGTTTATTAGATGAATGTATTAACCGAGTTGGGTGGTAGACATTTTCTATTTAGGCCCAGGATAGATACCCAATTTGAGTTGCCGATGATTCGAAATCAATAACATTGATTCTACCTGAATGGGAGTGACGAAACTTGCATCGATACGTTGTCTAAGTTCGCTAATGAATATTTTCTGAAAGAAAAGTATTTATTTTAAGATTAAGGCGGGGGACACACGCGACTTTTTATATTGCTATTTTCTAAGATATACTTGTACATTTAACAAATCAAAGCTTTATCGAGTCAAAGATTCGGACAAGCTCAGCGGTATTAATAATATCATAAATATTTATATTCAGATTATTAGTTCAAATCATCTAGAGTTTATCTTATTTGTTCACCAAACAGCGCTTTGTTAACAATAATGCGATATGAAAATGTGCACACCGAAATTTATAATTAGCAACTATAGTAGAAAAACATTTAATAAAACACATATCTTGTTTTGTCATCATTCACAGTAATTTTTCTAAGACAAACTTATACATTTAACAAACCAAAGCTTTATCGGTTCAAGGATTCGGACAAGCTCAGTGGTATTAATAATATCATAAATATTTATATTCAGATTATTAGTTCAAATCATCTAGAGTTTATCTTATTTGTTCACCAAACAGCGCTTTGTTAACAATAATGCGATATGAAAATGTGCACACCGAAATTTATAATTAGCAACTATAGTAGAAAAACATTTAATAAAACACATATCTTGTTTTGTCATCATTCACAGTAATTTTTCTAAGACAAACTTATACATTTAACAAACCAAAGCTTTATCGGTTTAAGGATTCGGACAAGCTCAGCGGTATTAATAATATCATAAATATTTATATTCAGATTATTAGTTCAAATCATCTAGAGTTTATCTTATTTGTTCACCAAACAGCGCTTTGTTAACAATAACGCGATATGAAAATGTGTTCACCGAAATTTTTAATTAGCAATTTTAGTAGAAAAACAATTATTGAAACACATTTTTTATTTTTTTCATTCACAGTCAATAGTAACATAGATCCAGCAACTGGTCTTCCATTTTCTGGCAGTTCATCTGGCATTTCAACGTCTTCTACTGGCGGCATGACAAGTACCGGCAGTCAGTTGTTTTCTGTCGGTGGTGTGTCAGCTGCTGGCATTCCCGCATCTGGCAGTGCACCAACTACGAATGTTGTTGACCCAGGAGCTCCCAGCATCTCGTTTTCTGGGAATCCGTCTGGCAGTATGACAACCGCGGGTGTCCTTGACCCTGGTATGCCAACTACTAGCGGTCAAACGTTTTCATTTTCTGGTAGTCTCTCTGGTAGTCCAACATCAGTTGGTAGTCAAACATCGTCTACTAGCAGTATTTCTACAAGTGGTAAGTCATAATCACGGGTCTATCTACACTTTTTATAGGAGATATTTTTTTTACAATAAATTTCAATTATATATGGTATTTGGGTTTTTTTTTTCACGTTAACCAATGTCTTATAATATATTTATTTTTAAATTACATATATTATTATTTGTGATACTTGTTTTTGTGTTGTGTATAAAACTATACGAGTATTAAAGTGACTGTGTTTAATTTGTCTCGTTAAATTTACTATGTTTAGCGCAATATAGGTCGTTTGGATCTGACGTGCATAAAATTCCATTTCATTCATACATTCATCCCCGACTTCAGGTTTTTGTTGGGTAGTCACGGTAGGAATCTGGATTTGTGAAAATATTTGTCTATTATTGTATACCGACCATGGCGGGATTTTGATTACTTATTATTGGCGATGTAACCTAATATAAATAAATGGTATGTTGCAATATTTTTTTTCTTTGCTTTTGTCAGGATCTACAGGGATGCAAAAAACACAAGTTATTTCACCCGCCAACTCAATGTATACAGGTACGATTTTTTACGTCAAATCCGGTTATTGAAATATTGATCAATTAACTTGTGAGAATTTCTGTTCTACATAATGACCAGGTTGAAACTCGCATACACTGCCATACCTTAATAAATAAATCGAGCTCAAAAAATTTGCTGCTCTAACCCAATGCATTTCAAAACTGAGAGTTTCGCCAGGGGCGGTCTTATTTGCTGATGCCAACGTTATATATCACTGTAAGTTTGATATCGTTGACCAAAAACTTTTAAAAATGAAACAAACTGCCACAAACAGTTCGTTTGTTGAGTTTTACATACGCTTCCACCTTAGATGATATCCCACAAAAGATCAAAGTCTTCATTTTATATACAAAATGTTTATTAGATAGTAATCAGGCAGTAAGTCTTGAAGTAAGTGTTATGTCACTGAGGTGTTAAAACCGCGAGTTTTGAATGATATACACCACTATTGGTTAGGTTTGTGTATTCAGTCGTGATGGGTGCTATAAATAGTCACGCTTTTACGCTAACTTTTAGACATAGGTACATATCTCCTTATTAATGACTACTGTGTTATTACTTGCCACTTTCTATACACATTGCGCTGGAGGGGGGGGGGGGGCGAATGGTTAGCACGTATGCGCTGTATCATAAGGTCTGTCACTGAGTCTGTCGATTTCCCGGTTGTACGTGACAAGGATAGGAGTAGGTTCGCCTGTCCAACCTCGTGGATTTTCTCCAGGTCCTCCGGTTTCCTCCCACAGCTAAAGACCCCTACGCGCAAGCGAATTATTGAAATAAAATTCAACCATGTGTTAGTCCCGAAATGACCTAGTTTGTGTCGACTGGACGTTAAACCCCTCTCTCTCTCTCTCACTCCTAATCGGTACTAAAGTGATCCTAAGCAGTTGATTGTATGAGTTAATCACAACAATTTTCATAACTAAAGGGACAAAGCGTGGGTTTGATTCCACACTTGTACGGGGAAAGGTAGGTTCGCCCGTCCAACCTTGTGGGTGTTGCTTCATTACCTCCAAAACACTGCAGCACGTATGACACTCAAGTCTAAACCTTCACAATAAACGCGTATTAATATTGTCTAATTCCTTTCTTCCTTTCAGACCCATTCTTTCAAAGTGGAGTTACTTTCATAGGTAGTATTCTGTTTGTGATGATTATTTTTAAATTAAGGCAATACATAGGAAATTGAGTTATAGCCGGGGAATATTTCTTGTTTAGTCCAGAGCTACATGATCCGATTAAGGGATGTGTGACGTTCACGCAGCACTACTAGTATCTTCATTTCTTTAGTTCTTTTACGTTCAGTGATCTGTGGTATTTGGAGTAATACAGACAAACAGTCGAAAGCATGAGCTTTTGCAGATAACCCAACTTCTGGTCAAATTCCGTGGATAGATATGAACTCACGAGCAATTGTATGCAGCATAACTATTTCGATATTATCTGCCCTTTTCATATGTAAATAGATGTATATGTCTATAATGGTAAAACAATTTCTATTGATTTTCCTTTTACTTATTTTTCAGATCCAGGCCAGGGCGGAGCTAACAGTGGTAATATCTTTTTATTAAATATTTATCACTAAACTTTAAATACGCAGTAGTGTACACAATTGTCTTCTTTCTTATAAATTAGCTACGTTTTTTTTAATTAAAGATATAATTGCTAATAGTGTTTTATTTTTTATCGTTTCAGCTTTCTCGGTTATGGGAGTTGATGGAGCATCGGGAATGAATGGAATGATTATCTAATATTCATCGTTTAATTCACAATATTTAAAAGATATTATAAATAAATAATACTTGTTCAAGTGCGGAAAGAATAAAATGTTTGAACTGTCTTACGTGTTTATGTTTTGTTTTTCCGTTTGTGTATTGTGGTTTTATTTAAACACAAACACACATTGTTCGAAGGAATATGAAAACATAACCTTTGAAATGCTGAATAAATTCACCATGCAAAGCCTTCTTTGATAAGTTGAAATATTTTGCGAATACAATCCTGTTATGTTCGGCTATACACATTTATTTTAATAATAATATTAATATATATATATATTTATCTTTTTCTTCAGCAATGCATCCAGCGAGCAGGAAAGCAAACAGCGCTCAGACAGGTTTTTATCTATTTTTAATTTGAAAGTATGCTTTCTCACTGAAGGGGCTATTTACCAAAAAGATACAGTGGATGACCACAAGAGCCTTTAAAGGTCAAACTTCTTCATTTCTATGACTGTTAAAAGTTTAATTATTATGACATTTAACTAACAATTAACCTTCAAAGGGGAACGATTTTCTTTTAAGGAAGAAAATACTGTTCAGAATTGAGAACGATTCATTCGAATTACTCAGCAGGTTTGCTGTTATGAATAATTGAATTTTTGTACCATAATAATTCGTTTGGCAAATAGCCCCTCCAATTCCTTAAACTTATAAAAAAAATCCTGTTTTTAGAACGTGTGCTCGATTGAGCAGTATACTAGAGCATCTCTCAATTTGTGTACCTTGAACCAAAACGCATGCTGTTCTAGATACCAACGTAACTATTTTATTTTACACAATTAGTTTACCACACATTTGGTGCTGTGATTATTTTCAAAATTATATCTTAAATTACTTCAATCGAGCACATGTTTAGATCCTAATTTCAGCATGCTTTTTGGTGAAAGGTATTTTTTTTTTAAATTGCACACGTTCTAAACGATGTTTGCTTCACTGACGCAGCGAATGCATGCGCTTTTATCAGCATTAAAAAGGTATTGGTTTCGGTGCCTCATGCCTCATCACTATTTTTACAACCATTATCACCATAGATATTATGTGTCTTTCTAACGGTTGTATGTGCACCACTTTAGTTCTAGCTAGAGGTTATACTTAGACGTTTCAATGTTACTATTTGGTTTGACTTGAGGGGTGTACCACTTTAGATGATTTCTCAAAAGTTACGGCCATACCCAATAGGCATGGATAAGTTGTTGGTGTTAGGAACATTTCAAGATGTATATTATTTATAGCAACCATGATACAGCATATTATGGCAAATTGTATCCAATGTATTTTTCTTTCGTTTACCGGTTAAAATTTCTTGTTTTATTAAATCAAATTTCCCAAACGTCCATATTCATAGCCAAACAATTAATTACAGTAAGTTTGACAAAAATAATGTTTTGATATCTTTCTACCTACGGGTCGTCAAAAAAGAGTTGCAATACAAAAAGAACTGGAACTATATTATGTGTTTCTTTTCTTATAGAGACTTGAATGAATTGATCTTACACAATTATCAGTTCCATTTTATTATATTCTAATTAATTATTTTCTACAGGAACAGATGTGCACATGTTAACGTCAAATATTACATTTTTCGGGGAAAATCTAAAATAAATACTTTTCTATTTCTCCGGCAAACATTCCTTTCAACCTTCTCTATTTCTTGCAACAAAACATAATAATCAAACAAACTTTAAAAAGAACGAGATATAATAAAGAGAAAAACCAGAAACGCAAGAAAAGATTAACTAATCGTAACCAATATTTTATTGGAGTAAAAAGCATATAATATTATAGCTTACACCTATTAATAAAACAAGTTTTTTTTTAACTCAATTTCTTAAATAAGTTAAAAAAAAAACCTGGCGTTTGTGTTTAATTAACAGTGATGTTTTTGAGATAAATACGGGTGTCACTCGAGAGGTTGCATATAATGGTACTTGAACGGTTAGAATTCTTTTCATTAATGGGGTTGATTTAACAAATTAATAATAAGATTACGGGCCAATTATTCCGACATCGATAAACACTTCAGAATTCCATGCTTAAAAATATAACTGAAAGCCTCTTGTTAACGGCCGAAAAATTATTTTCCGGAGATTGACAAAACATTAATCGTAGTAGACGTTCGCTTTGCAAAGTTAAAATTTGAAAAATGATAAATGTGTAGAAAGTCACCCATAACTGTGTTTAGCAGAAACTTAGAGACCCTTAACATAAATTCGTTTGAGTAATTGAGAAACCTTCCAGATCTGTTTGGGTTTAGATGGATAGTACAGGATTAAAAGGGTACATTCGAACCACTTTTAAGAGTCCATTACCACAATATTCGTAACGAATTAAAGCTCTAGCTTACATCTTAACATGAATTTAGACTTAAATAGGAATAAGTAAGCTGTGGAGTTTTTTAATTCGACGTGAATTAACTAGATAATCATTTACGATTGCATGAAAAGTTTGAGACCCATCAACCACTCCAGCGTTGAGATAGAGAAGCTTTAAATTTCGTAACGAACCATACATATACATAGTTCAGCAAGGACACGTTCGATAACTATTTGCGATAATTATGTAAGTCTAAATTTGTTATGAATATAATATTATATTAAGTTAATTACATTTATTTTCTTAATGAAATTGACCGTTTAGTAACGTTGTTCTAAGTATAAACATTAGTCACTCGTACGAAAAGTCGTTCCGCTGATAATTTATACCTAAAGAAGAGCTTATGTGTAAGTGGTGCACACGACCTTTAGATTATAAGATTTGTAATATATTGAACGTGCCAAATTTAATAAAACATCACGTCAAAATTCGAATCGTTTTTTTGTCTCAGATAATTAGTTTACACGTCTGTTAAAATCCCTTTAATACAAAAGAAAGTGTGTTGCACACGATTTTGGCTAAAGTTCATAAAAACTTTTATTATACAAATCAGCATTTGTACGGTCAGAGACATAAATGATTTAGCGTTTAGTCTATAGTACCATATGGGTGTACTACATTTTAAGCTTCATATAGTATTCTTTTCATATGTAACACAATCCATTACTTTTCAAGGCATACATGATCGGTCCAAAGGATAAAACCTACGAAATGAAGGCGTGTTTATTCATATTAATTAACAGTGTACCTATAAATGCTGAACCAAGCTGGGGACTATTAAATTGGTTTCGTTCGTCTGTTTGTTCGCCACACTTTTTAGACATAATAACTCTGCTGCTTTTAGGCTAGATTGTGTCAACTTTGTATATGTGTTCAATACGCGATTCAACTTAGAGTATTTTCTACATAGGCGAAATTGGCAGATATAAGCAATTTTATTCGTCAAAGCTTTGGGACACGATAACTTTGATTATTGAAAGGGGACAGTGTTGAAACTTGATTTGACTAAATTCAATAGTTAACATTTTCTGCCCGGGTTAAGTAATTTTAATAATGGAGACTTTTGATCACGATATCTTTGGGTATGGGAGTGGGGGTTGTGATACTTGGTGTAACGTTTCATTACAACAATACCCTGATACAAGGTATATAGTTTCATTACAACAATAGCTTGACTATGTTCGACCATGTTTCGGCTAATTAGAGTGTGATAAGCAATTTCATTGGCCGATAACTTTGATTCTTATTGAGTGGGTGTGATGAAACATGGTGTAAAGTTTCATTACATCAATACCTCGGCTACGTGCGGTGATCATTTTCTGCTTAAGACTAACTAGCTAGAAGACAATATCATTAGGTGGATGTTGTGACGGAGTTTAATCATAAGCATTGATACACGATGAGTGGTGACACTTGATCATGCGCATTTTGTGCCTAAGCTAAGTATAGTAAATGGCATGAAATGGGGTTTTACTTCCTACTGCTCTGCTCCGACTGGGCTAATGAAGACGGGCATATGCCATACAGTGTGCGCTGAGGGAAATTTTGCCCCTTGCAGCGGTGCTATGCCAACCACTCTCATATCGAATTCCAACTGCAAATGGATCTTTTACGTGCACGGGAATTCGGCTTTTAGTCCCATCCGAACGACTATGCGTTTTCCGTTGCCAGGCATTCATCCTGAACCACTGACAGGCCGGAAAAGCCCGATGAGCTTTCTCGGCCAACGCAGGGATCGGACATGGAACCTCCAGGTAGCGAGCCAACGTCTTACTCACTGGACCAAAATGGCCCCGGTTAGGTGTAGATAAGCTGTTTGATTTCTTCTTGCTTGACAGGAAAATATATGTGCAATTAACTAATGTGGCATCTATGTATATTGAGACACCAGGTTCTCTTTGGCTTGTCTAAATTTGCACTTGATTTGTAGAAAGCGAACACCGACAACATCGTTTGGGTATTTTTATTAACGATGTCTTGGACGAGTCTAGCAATAGAACAAATTAACAATAGGTTTTATCACGAAAAATATACAGTGTCTTTTTTTTTGAAAGTTGTGATTTTGATGAAGATGTGGTTCAGATCATTCGAAACTATTCATATATCTATTTTCAATTTGTCCATGCTTGAACAACCACAACCGTCAAAAAATACAAGAAGACAAATTTTATCTCAATAAAAGAGTTGAAGCTATTTGGTCGTCGCTATCAACATATCCCGTGCAAATGGGCATCTCCTTACATTTTTTCCTTTATAGAATGAATGTTGCCATTTGTTTTAAAAAGCTTTGGAATTAATGAATGAATGTGCCTTCTATTCTGAAACTTTGGTCGTGGTTTTTATATACTCCAATCAGCTACGTTTGAAAAATGCTATAAATGGTTAAACTGTTAAACTGAGCACGCTAAACTAAATACTGGCATATGAGATTGAATCTTGACAAGTTAATGAAGTTAGTGATATGATATCATCTAACAGTATGTAATTTCAATTTTTAAATTTTCTGGAAACCGTGTGTTTTAATCAACATCGCAAAGTAAACGATTTATTTCGTCCAGATCTATATATTTGTTTACATGCAGCAATCACATATTGCCTTATTCAAATTTATTCCTATCACAGCATTCAGAAAGTCAGCGAAGACAGTAACAGTGTATACTAAAAGAGAATCTCCAGCTACATCAAGACAAAACATGCGTCCGTCACCGATCGGGTCCACACAAATGGTACAATTACTCGTGCCTAACCAAAACATTGCTTTTAATACAAGAAGAAATTTGATACCAAAATTATCAATCCAACCTATGTCAACCATAAATACAATCAGACACAATGCACCAAATAAGATTGATCAAAATCAAAGATTTGGGGCTCCAACAAACACTATCACGAAGAAACCTACACCCGCGATACAACTTTTAATTCAAAGTCCGCCATCACTTAATTTGAGAGAAGTGAGAAAACCTACCATAACAATAAATTCATCTCAAAACCATGGTATACATAATGCAATTGGACAATTCAAGACCCATCAACAAACTAATACTATGGCAAAGCCAACCCTAACAGGTACACCTAGACTAGCAGTTACCGGCCCAACATCACCTGCTGTTGGTTTAATATCAACAAATGGAACCCCGCGTGGTTCCTCCTTTATTCCAACTACACAGAATTTTCCATCACATGGGGTGGCTCCAATCAGTGCAATTTCACCGACAGCATCATCTTTAAAATGGACAGGACGGAACATAACATCTCCGCTCGGTGGAATGACACAGTCCACTAATATCATTAATAATAATAATAGTTTACAAGGTCGGACGCAGTCGATACCAAACACAATCATTACAAATACCATTTCTGGCACAAAGTTCCCTGGATCTGGACAGAGATTAGCCGTTTCTTCAACAACCGGTAGTACACAATCTAGTCCATCGCAAAATAGCGCAACCAAAAATTTACACTCAGTTGTTGCAACAAATAATGCCGCACCCAGTACTGGTCTTACATCTACCGTAAGCCAAAGATTATCTCCAGCAAGCCCAGCAACTACTGGACAAACTACAAACATATTATCTACAAGCCCTAGTATATCATCCACAAGCCAAACTCCATCTTCTGTTGGTGCATCATCTTTGGTGGCAAGAGCTACCTCGGCTACAAGTCAAACAGGTCAACCTGCAACTTCTACTGTTCACCCTTTTGGTCCCTCGGCGGCCTATACTCAGGCAAATTTGCCAACTACCCATGCGAGGTCTGCGAATGGGGCATTGTTAAACCAAGCAGTGACGTCAATTAAATCATCTACCAATGTCCCATCTACTACAAGCCAACATGTACCGGGTGGTCGCACATTTACAATTGCCCAGTCCAGAACAACGAGCCCAAACGCACCGTCTGTTGGCGGAACAACTATTGCCACTTCCAGTCCTGGTCTTACATCAACAGTAAGCCACACAACATCCCCCACAAGGCCAGCAACTACAGGACAAACTACAAATCCTACCTCTACAGGCCCATCTATTGCTGCTGCTTTCACTAGCACAACAACTTCAGGACAAACTATAAACCCAGTATCTACAGGTCAAACTGCATCTTCTATTGGTCAAATCGCCAGTGGGACAGCATCTAATGGGGCCTCAACAACATCTTCTACAAATACAGGACAAACTACAAACCCTACCTCTACAGGCCCAATCGCGTCTTCTACTGGACCGTCTTCTGCTGCTGTCACTAGCACAACAACTTCAGGACAAACTATAAACCCAGTATCTACAAGCCAAACTGTATCTTCTATTGGTCCAATCCCTGGTGGGAGAGTATCTATTGGGGCCACAACAACATCTTCTACAAGTCCAACAAATACAGGACAAATTACAAACCCTACCTCTACAGGCCCAATGGCGTCTTCTACTGGTACGTCCTCTGCTGTTGACACCGGCACAACAACTTCAGGCCTTACTACAAACCAAGTATCTAGAAGCAAAACTGCATCTTCTACTGGTCCACTCCCTAGTGGGACAGCATCTATTGCGACCCCAACAACATCTTTTGCAAGCAAATCTTCTTCTTTAACTGGCGCGTCACCAAACCAAACAGTTCCCGCTAGTGGCCGAATTACAACTAGTAATATCCCATCTACAACGAGCCCAAATGTACCGTCTGTTGGTGGAAAAACTATTGTCGAAACCCGTGCTGGTCTTGCATCTACAGTATGGCAAACAGCATCTGCTACAACCCCAGAAACTACAGGACAAACTGCAAACCCTACCTCTACAGGACCAACTGCGCCTTCTACTGGCCCGTCTTCTGCTGGTACATCTTTTGGACCACACGCAACTTCGGCTACTAGCTCAACAGCTTTAACACTTAGCCAACCACCGCCTACTACAGGACAAACTACAATCCAACAAACTACCAACAGTTCCACATCAGTCACAGGTCGATCTTCACAACCAACTGGCCAGTCTGCTGGTGGAACGGCATCTATTGGGATATCACCTTTTACCCAAGCGTCTGCTGTAAATATTGCAGTGTCAAACCACCCAGTGACTTCAACAGTTAGCCAATCATCACCTGCTACAAGCCCTGCCACTTCAGGACAAACTACAACCCCGGTGTTCACGGGGACAGCATCTATTTGGGCCCCAACTACACCATCAACAAGCCAAACTACACATCAAAATGCATCTTCTTCTGGTACAATCTCTGGTGGGACAACATCTATTGGGTCATCAACAACATCCTCTACAAGCCAGGCCACTTCTTCAACTGGCGCATCATCAAACCAAACAGTTTCTGCTATTGGCCACATTACAACTACTAATATTCCATATACAACGAGCCCAAATGTACCGTCTATTGGTGGAACAACTGTTGTCACGCCCAATGCTGGTGTTCCATCTACAGTAAGCCAAACAGCATCTACAAGCCCAGCAACTACAGGACCAACTATAAACGCTACGTCTACAGGTCCAACTGCGTCTTCTACTGGTCGGTCTTCTGCTGGTACATCATCTTTTGGGCCAACCGCAACTTCAACTACTAGCTCAACATTTTCAAAAGTAAACCAACCATCGCCTGCTACAATCACAGCAACTACAGGACAAGCTACAATCCAACAATCTACCAGCAGTCAAACATCATTCACAGGTCAATCTGCACCGTCAAATGGTCGATCTTCTGGTGGCACGGCATCTGTTGGAACATCACCTATTATGCAGGCGTCTGCTGTAAATATTGCCGTGTCAAACCACCCAGTGACTTCAACAGTTAGCCAATCACCACCAGCTACGAGTCCGGCAACTACAGGACAAACTACAATCCCGGTGTCCACAACTCAAACGGCATCTTCTACCGGTCCCTTGTCTAGTGGGACAGTGACTTCAACAGTTAGCCAATCACCACCTGCTACAAGTTCGGCAACTACAGGACAAACTACAATCCCGATGTCCACAACTCTAACGGCATCTTCTACCGGTCCCGTGTCTAGTGGAACAGTGACTTCAACAGTTAGCCAATCACCACCTGCAACAAGTCCGGCAACTACAGGACAAACTACAATCCCAATGTCTACAACTCAAACGGCATCTTCTACCGGTCCCGTGTCTAGTGGGACAGTGACTTCAACAGTTAGCCAATCACCACCTGCTACAAGTCCGGCAACTACAGGACAAACTACAATCCCGATGTCCACAACTAAAACGGCATCTTCTACCGGTCCCGTGTCTAGTGGGACAGTGACTTCAACAGTTAGCCAATCACCACCTGCTACAAGTCCGGCAACTACAGGACAAACTACAATCCCGCTGTCCACAACTCAAACGACATCTTCTACCGTTCCCGTGTCTAGTGGGACAGCATCTGTTGGGGCCCCGCTTGTACCATCTACAAGTCAAAGTGCTCATTCAACTACTACATCAGCAAACCAAACAATTTCTGCTTTTGGCCAAACTATATCTACTAATATGACATCTGCAGCAAGCCAAAATACAACCTCTACTGGCGCAACAAATATCGCCACGTCCAGTACCAGTCTTGCATCTACAGTAAATCAAACACCATCTCCTACAAGCCCAACAACTATAGGAAAAACTGTAATCCCATTCTCTACAAGCCATACTATACCATCCATAGGACAAACCCCGTCTTCTACTGTTACATCATCAGTTGCGGCAACCACTGTTTCGGCTACTAGCCAAGCAGCTTCAACAGTAAATCAACAACCACCTGTAACTAGCCCAACAGCTACAGGACAAACTACAACCCCAGTATCCATAGGTCAAATTGCATCTTCTACCGGTCCAATATCGGGTGGGACAGCACCTATTGAGGCCTCGGCAACATCTTCTACAAGCCAGACTGCTTCTTCAACTGGCGCATCATCTAGCCAAACAGTTCCATCTACAGTAAACCAAACAGCATCTACAAGCCCATCAACTACAGGACAATCTACAAACGCTACGTCTACAGGTCCAACTGCGTCTTCTACTGGTCGGTCTTCTGCTGGTACATCATCTTTTGGGCCAACCGCAACTTCAACTACTAACGCAACATTTTCAAAAGTAAACCAACTATCGCCTGCTACAATCACAGCAACTACAGGACAAGCTACAATCCAACAATCTACCAGCAGGCCAACATCATTCACAGATCGATCTGCACCGTCAAATAGTCGAACTTCTGGTAGCACGGCATCTGTTGGGACATCACCTATTATTCAGGCGTCTGCTGTAAATATTGCCGTGTCAAACCACCCAGTGACTTCCACAGTTAGCCAATCACCACCTGCTACAAGTCCGGCAACTACAGGACAAACTACAATCCCGGTGTCCACAACTCAAACAGCATCTTCTACCGGTCCCTTGTCTAGTGGGACAGTGACTTCAATAGTTAGCCAATCACCACCTGCTACAAGTCCGGCAACTACAGGACAAACTACAGTCCCGATGTCCACAACTCAAACGGCATCTTCTACCGGTCCCGTGTCTAGTGGGACAGTGACTTCAACAGTTAGCCAATCGCCACCTGCTACAAGTCCGGCAACTACAGGACAAACTACAATCCGGCTGTCCACAACTCAAACGACATCTTCTACCGTTCCCGTGTCTAGTGGAACAGTGACTTCAACAGTTAGCCAATCACCACCTGCAACAAGTCCGGCAACTACAGGACAAACTACAATCCCGATGTCCACAACTCAAACGGCATCTTCTACCGGTCCCGTGTCTAGTGGGAAAGTGACTTCAACAGTTAGCCAATCACCACCTGCTACAAGTCCGGCAACTACAGGACAAACTACAATCCCGGTGTCCACAACTCAAACGGCATCTTCTACCGGTCCCTTGTCTAGTGGGACAGTGACTTCAACAGTTAGCCAATCACCACCTGCTACAAGTCCGGCAACTGCAGGACAAACTACAATACCGATGTCCACAACTCAAACGGCATCTTCTACCGGTCCCGTGTCTAGTGGGACAGTGACTTCAACAGTTAGCCAATCACCACCTGCTACAAGTCCGGCAACTACAGGACAAACTACAATCCCGCTGTCCATAACTCAAACGACATCTTCTACCGTTCCCGTGTCTAGTGGGACAGCATCTGTTGGGGCCCCGCTTGCGCCATCTACAAGCCAAAGTGCTCATTCAACTACTACATCAGCAAACCAAACAATTTCTGCTATTGGCCAAACTATATCTACTAATATGACATCTGCAGCAAGCCAAAATACAACCTCTACTGGCGCAACAAATATCGCCACGTCCAGTACCAGTCTTGCATCTACAGTAAATCAAACACCATCTCCTACAAGCCCAACAACTATAGGACAAACTGTAATTCCATTCTCTACAAGCCATACTATACCATCCACAGGACAAACTCCGTCTTCTATTGTTACATCATCAGTTGCGGCAACCACTGTTTCGGCTACTAGCCAAGCAGCTTCAACAGTAAATCAACAACCACCTGTAACTAGCCCAACAGCTACAGGACAAACTACAACCCCAGTATCCATAGGTCAAATTGCATCTTCTACCGGTCCAATATCGGGAGGGACAGCACCTATTGAGGCCTCGGCAACATCTTCTACAAGCCAGACTGCTTCTTCAACTGTCGCATCATCTAGCCAAACAGTTCCATCTACAGTAAGCCAAACAGTTCCATCTACAAGCCCATCAACTACAGGACAAACTACAAACGCTACGTCTACAGGTCCAACTGCGTCTTCTACTGGTCGGTCTTCTGCTGGTACATCATCTTTTGGGCCAACCGCAACTTCAACTACTAGCGCAACATTTTCAAAAGTAAACCAACCATCGCCTGCTACAATCACACCAACTACAGGACAAGCTACAATCCAACAATCTACCAGCAGGCCAACATTCACAGGTCGATCTGCACCGTCAAATAGTCGAACTTCTGGTAGCACGGCATCTGTTGGGACATCACCTATTATTCAGGCGTCTGCTGTAAATATTGCCGTGTCAAACCACCCAGTGACTTCCACACTTAGCCAATCACCACCTGCTACAAGTCCGGCAACTACAGGACAAACTACAATCCCGGTGTCCACAACTCAAATGGCATCTTCTACCGGTCCCTTGTCTAGTGGGACAGTGACTTCAACAGTTAGCCAATCACCACCTACTACAAGTCCGGAAACTACAGGACAAACTACAGTCCCGATGTCCACAACTCAAACGGCATCTTCTACCGGCCCCGTGTCTAGTGGGACAGTGACTTCAACAGTTAGCCAATCGCCACCTGCTACAAGTCCGGCAACTACAGGACAAACTACAATCCGGCTGTCCACAACTCAAACGACATCTTCTACCGTTCCCGTGTCTAGTGGAACAGTGACTTCAGCAGTTAGCCAATCACCACCTGCAACAAGTCCGGCAACTACAGGACAAACTACAATCCCGATGTCCACAACTCAAACGGCATCTTCTACCGGTCCCGTGTCTAGTGGGACAGTGACTTCAACAGTTAGCCAATCACCACCTGCTACAAGTCCAGCAACTACAGGACAAACTACAATCCCGGTGTCCACAACTCAAAAGGCATCTTCTACCGGTCCCTTGTCTAGTGGGACAGTGACTTCAACAGTTAACCAATCACCACCTGCTACAAGTCCGGTAACTACAGGACAAACTACAATCTCGCTGTCCACAACTCAAACGACATCTTCTACCGTTCCCGTGTCTAGTGGGACAGCATCTGTTGGGGCCCCGCTTGCGCCATCTACAAGCCAAAGTGCTCATTCAACTACTACATCAGCAAACCAAACAATTTCTGCTATTGGCCAAACTATATCTACTAATATGACATCTGCAGCAAGCCAAAATACAACCTCTACTGGCGCAACAAATATCGCCACGTCCAGTACCAGTCTTGCATCTACAGTAAATCAAACACCATCTCCTACAAGCCCAACAACTATAGGACAAACTGTAATTCCATTCTCTACAAGCCATACTATACCATCCACAGGACAAACTCCGTCTTCTACTGTTACATCATCAGTTGCGGCAACCACTGTTTCGGCTACTAGCCAAGCAGCTTCAACAGTAAATCAACAACCACCTGTAACTAGCCCAACAGCTACAGGACAAACAACAACCCCAGTATCCATAGGTCAAATTGCATCTTCTACCGGTACAATATCGGGAGGGACAGCACCTATTGAGGCCTCGGCAACATCTTCTACAAGCCAGACTGCTTCTTCAACTGGCGCATCATCTAGTCAAACAGTTTCTACTATAGGCCAAATTACAACTACTAATATTCCATATACAACGAGTCCAAATGTACCGTCTATTGGTGGAACAACTGTTGTCACGCCCAATGCTGGTGTTCCATCTACAGTAAGCCAAACAGCTTCTACAAGCCCATCAACTACAGGACAAACTACAAACGCTACGTCTACAGGTCCAACTGCGTCTTCTACTGGTCGGTCTTCTGCTGGTACATCATCTTTTGGGCCAACCGCAACTTCAACTACTAGCGCAACATTTTCAAAAGTAAACCAAACATCGCCTGCTACAATCACAGCAACTACAGGACAAGCTACAATCCAACAATCTACCAGCAGGCCAACATCATTCACAAGTCGATCTGCACCGTCAAATAGTCGATCTTCTGGTAGCACAGCATCTGTTGGGACATCACCTATTATTCAGTCGTCTGCTGTAAATATTGCCGTGTCAAACCACCCAGTGACTTCAACAGTTAGCCAATCCCCACCTGCTACAAGTCCGGCAACTACAGGACAAACTACAATCCCGGTGTCCACAACTCAAACGGCATCTTCTACCGGTCCCTTGTCTAGTGGGACAGTGACTTCAACAGTTAACCAATCACCACCTGCTACAAGTCCGGCAACTACAGGACAAACTACAATCCCGGTGTCCACAACTCAAACGGCATCTTCTACCGGTCCCTTGTCTAGTGGGACAGTGACTTCAACAGTTAGCCAATCACCACCTGCTACAAGTCCGGCAACTACAGGACAAACTACAATCCCGCTGTCCACAACTCAAACGACATCTTCTACCGTTCCTGTGTCTAGTGGGACAGCATCTGTTGGGGCCCCGCTTGCGCCATCTACAAGCCAAACGGCTCATTCAACTACTACATCAGCAAACCAAACAATTTCTGCTATTGGCCAAACTACAAACGCTACGTCTACAGGTCCAACTGCGTCTTCTACTGGTCGGTCTTCTGCTGGTACATCATCTTTTGGGCCAACCGCAACTTCAACTACTAGCGCAACATTTTTAAAAGTAAACCAACCATCGCCTGCTACAATCACAGCAACTACAGGGCAAGCTTCAATCCAACAATCTACCAGCAGGCCAACATCATTCACAGGTCGATCTGCACCGTCAAATAGTCGATCTTCTGGTAGCACGGCATCTGTTAGGACATCACCTATTATTCGGGCGTCTGCTGTAAATATTGCCGTGTCAAACCACCCAGTGACTTCAACAGTTAGCCAATCACCACCTGCTACAAGTCCGGCAACTACAGGACAAACTACAATCCCGGTGTCCACAACTCAAACGGCATCTTCTACCGGTCCCTTGTCTAGTGGGACAGTGACTTCAACAGTTATCCAATCACCACCTGCTACAAGTCCGGCAACTACAAGACAAACTACAGTCCCGATGTCCACAACTCAATCACCACCTGCTACAAGTCCGGCAACTACAGGACAAACTACAATCCCGGTGTCCACAACTCAAACGACATCTTCTACCGGTCCCTTGTCTAGTGGGACAGTGACTTCAACAGTTAGCCAATCACCACCTGCTACAAGTCCGGCAACTACAGGACAAACTACAATCCCGCTGTCCACAACTCAAACGACATCTTCTACCGTTCCTGTGTCTAGTGGGACAGCATCTGTTGGGGCCCCGCTTGCGCCATCTACAAGCCAAACGGCTCATTCAACTACTACATCAGCAAACCAAACAATTTCTGCTATTGGCCAAACTATATCTACTAATATGACATCTGCAGCAAGCCAAAATACAACCTCTACTGGCGCAACAAATATCCCCACGTCCAGTGCCAGTCTTGCATCTACAGTAAATCAAACACCATCTCCTACAAGCCCAACAACTATAGGACAAACTGTAATTCCATTCTCTACAAGCCATACTATACCATCCACAGGTCAAACTCCGTCTTCTACTGTTACATCATCAGTTGCGACAACCACTGTTTCGGCTACTAGCCAAGCAGCTTCAACAGTAAATCAACAACCACCTGTAACTAGCCCAACAGCTACAGGACAAACTACAACCCCAGTATCCGTAGGTCAAATTGCATCTTCTACCGGTCCAATATCGGGAGGGACAGCACCTATTGAGGCCTCGGCAACATCTTCTACAAGCCAGACTGCTTCTTCAACTGGCGCATCATCTAGCCAAACAGTTTCTGCTATAAGCCAAATTACAACTACTAATATTCCATATACAACGAGCCCAAATGTACCGTCTATTGGTGGAACAACTGTTGTCACACCCAGTGCTGGCGTAACATCTACAGTAAGCCAAACAGCACCTACAAGCCCAGCAACTACAAACCCTACATCTACAGGCCCAACTGCCTCTTCTACTGGCCTGTCTTCTGTTGGTACACCGCCTGGAACAACCACAGCAACTACAGGACAAGCTACAGTTCAACAATCTACCAGCAGGCCAACATCATTAACAGGTCGATCTGCACCGTCAACTGGTCGATCTTCTGGTGGCACGGCATCTGTTGGGGCATCACCTATTATTCAGTCGTCTGCTGTAAATATTGCCGTGTCAAACCACCCAGTGACTTCAACAGTTAGCCAATCACCACCTGCTACAAGTCCGGCAACTACAGGACAAACTACAATCCCGGTGTCCACAACTCAAACGGCATCTTCTACCGGTCCCTTGTCTAGTGGGACAGTGACTTCAACAGTTAACCAATCACCACCTGCTACAAGTCCGGCAACTACAGGACAAACTACAATCCCGGTGTCCACAACTCAAACGGCATCTTCTACCGGTCCCTTGTCTAGTGGGACAGTGACTTCAACAGTTAGCCAATCAAATAGTCGATCTTCTGGTAGCACGGCATCTGTTGGGACATCACCTATTATTCAGTCGTCTGCTGTAAATATTGCCGTGTCAAACCACCCAGTGACTTCAACAGTTATCCAATCACCACCTGCTACAAGTCCGGCAACTACAGGACAAACTACAATCCCGGTGTCCACAACTCAACCGACATCTTCTACTGGTCCCTTGTCTAGTGGGAAAGTGACTTCAACAGTTAGCCAATCACAATCTTCTACAAGTCCGGAAACTACAGGACAAATTACAATCCCGGTGTCCACAACTCAAACGACATCTTCTACCGGTCCTGTGTCTGGTGGGACAGCATCTGTTATGGCCCCGCTTACACCATCTACAGTTTCTGCTAATGGCCAAAGTACATCTACTAATATTCTATCTACAACAAGTCAAAATTCACCCTTTGCTGCTGCAACAAACACTGCCACGCCCAGTTCTGGTCTTGCATCTACAGTTAGTCAAACAGTATCTCCTACAAGTCCAACAACTATAGGCCAAGCTATAATCCCATCTACTAATGGTTATATCTCTGGTAGGACATCTATTGGGGCCTCGGCAACATCTTCTACAAACCAAACTGTTCCTTCAACTGGTGCATCATCAAACCAAACCCTTTCTGCTATTGTCCAAACTTCAGTTACTAATATGCCATTTGCAACAAACCAAAATGTACCCTCTGTTGGTGCAGCAAACAGTGCCACATCTGGTATTGGTATTGCAGCTACAGCTTTAACTTTAAGTGCTAAGCCGAAAGGCAGTACACCACTACCATCGTCAAGTACAAATTTCCAGATCTCTGCAATTCCTAGTCATTCCAATAGTCTAGCTGTATCTCCAATTGGAAACTCAATAAATGCAAACGTGATGTCTAGCAAAGCCATTTCTGTAGAGCCTTTATTACATGCTTCCCCTACAAATTTTCAAATCGCAAATGGTGTTTTTGTTGGCCGCATTGCATCTGCTAATATGACATCTTCAACAAGACAAAATGCACCCTCGGCTGGTGCAACTACATCATCTACAAGTCAAACTACTTCTTCAACTACCACCTCATCAAACCAAACAGTTTCTGCTAATGGCAAAATTATATCTACTAATATGCCATCTACAACAACCCAAAATACAACCTCTGCTGGTGCAACAAATATCGCCACGTCAAGTGCTGGTTTTGCATCTACAGTAAGTCAAACACCATCTTCTACAAGCCCAGCAACTGTAGGACAAACTATAATCCCTTTCTCTACAAGTCATACTATACCATCCACCGGACAAATTCCATCTTCTGCTGTTATATCATCTTTTGGGGCAAACACTGCTACGTCTACTAACCAAACAGCTTCACCAGTAAGCAAATCACCCCCTGTCACTAGTCCAACAACTTCAGGACAAACTACAAACCCAGTATCTACAGCCCAAACTGCTTCTTCTGTTGGTCCAGTCACTAGTGGGACTGAATCTGTTGGGACCTCAACAACACCTTCTACTAGCCAGGCTGCCTCGTCAACTGGCGCATCATCAAACCAAACAGTTACTGCTATTGGCCAAATTACAACTAGTAATATTTCATCTACAACGAGCCCAAATGTTGGTGGAACAACTATTACCACGTCCAGTGCTGGTCTTACATCTACAGTAAGCCAAACAACAATCCCGGGAACTACAGGACAAACTACAAACCCTACCGCATTATCAAACCAAACAGTTTCTTCTATTGTCCAATCTACATCTACCAATATGCCATTTACAACAAACCAAAATGTACCCTCGGTTGGTGCAACAAACAGTGCCATGTCCGGTACTAGCATTGGATCTACAGCTTTAAATTTAAGTGCTAAGTCAAAAGGCAGTACAGCACTACCATCCCAAAATACAAATTTCCAGATCTCTGCAATTCCTAGCCATTCCAGTAGTCTAGCTGTATCTCCAATTGGAAACTCGATAAATACAAACGTGATATCTAGGAAAGCCGTTTCTATTGAGCCTTTACTACATGCTTCCCCTACAAATTTTCAGATTTCAAATGGTGTTTCTGTTGGCCAAATTGCATCTGCTAACGTGACACCTACATCACAACGAAATGGACCCTCGGCTAGTGCAACTACATCATTTACAAGTCAAACAACTTCTTCAACTACCACCTCATCAAACAAAACAGTTTCTACTAATGGCCAAACTATATCTACTAATATGCCATCTCCAACAAGCCAGAATACAACATCTGTTGCTGCAATAAATATCGTTGGAGCCTCAACAACATCTTTTACAAGCCAGACTGCTTCTTCAACTGCCACATCATCAAACCAAACCGTTTCTGCAATTGACCAAATGACAACTAGTAATATTCCATCTACAACGAGCCCAAATGTTGGTGGAACAACTATTACCACATCCAGTGCTGGTATTACATCTACAGTAAGCCAAACATCCCCAGCAATTGCAGGACAAACTACAAACCCTACATCTACAGTAAGCCAAACAACATTTGCTACAAGCCCAGCAACTACGGGACAAACTACAAACCCTAACTCTACAGGCCCAACTGCGTCTTCTACTGGCCCATCTTCTGCTGGTACTACAGGACAAGCTACAATACAACAATCTACCAGCAGGCCCACATTATTCACGGATCAGTCTGCACAACCAACTGTTCAGTCTTTTGGTGGAATAGCATCTGTTGGGATATCACCTTTTATCCAGGCGTCTCCTGTAAATATTGCAGTGTCAAACCACCCAGTGACTTCAACAGTTAGCCAATCATCACCTGCTACAAGCCCTGCAACTTCAGGACAAACTACAATCCCGGTATCTACAACTCAAACTGCGCATTTTACGGGTCCAATGTCTGGTGGGACAACATCTATCGGGGCCCCAACTACACCATCTACAAGCCAGACTGCGTCTTCATCTAAAAGCCATACTGCTTCTTCAACTACCGCTTCATCAAACCTAACAATATCTGATATTGGCCAAACAATATCCACTAATATGCCACCTACAACAAGCCAAAGTACACCCTCCTCTCGCTCAACAAACATAACCACGTCCAGTACTGGTCTTGCATCTACAGTAAGCCAAACACCATCTCCCACAAGTTCAACCTCTACAAGCCATACTATACAATCCACAGGACAAACTCAGTCTTCTGCTGTTACATCATCGTTTGGAGCAACCACTGCTTCTGCTACTAGCCAAACAGCTTCAGCACTAAGCCAAGCATCGCCTGTCACTATCCCAGCAACTACAGGACAAACTACAAACCCAGCATCTACAGGTCAAACTGCATCTTATGCTGGTCCAATCTCTGGTGGGAAATCATCTATTGGGGCCTCAGCAACATCTCCTACAAGCCAAACTGTACCGTCGGTTGGCGGAAGAACGATTACCGCTTCCAGTGCGGGTCGTACATCTACGGTCAGTCAAACAGCATCCCCGACAAGCTCAGCAGCTTCGGGACAAACTACAAACCCTACCTCTCCAGGTCCAACTGCGCCTTCTGTTGGCCCATTACAAACTACAGGACACGCTACAAACCCAGTATCTACAGGTCAAACTGCATCTTCTGCTGGTCCAATCTTTGGTGGGAAATCGTCTATTGGGGTCTTAGCAACATCTCCTACAAGCCAAACTGTACCGACTGTTGGTGGAACAACGATTACCGCTTCCAGTGTGGGTCTTACATCTACGGTCAGCAAAACAGCATCCCCGACAAACCCAGCAGCTTCGGGACAAACTACAAACCCTACCTCTACAGTTCCAACTGCGTCTTCTGTTGGTCGATCATCTGGTACATCATCTTTTGGGGCAACAGCAACATCGGCTACTAGCTCAACAGCTTCAACAGTAAGCCAGCCCCAACCGGCCACAACTTCAGAAACTACAGGACAAACTACAAACCCTATTTCCTCAACTTCGACTACTAGCCTAACATCCTCATCAGTAAACCAACAGCCACCTGCTACAAGCCCAGCAACTACGGGGCAAACTACAATTCAACAATCTACAAACCAGGCCACATCATTCACATCCCAATCTACAGTTTCTGCTATTGGTCAAATTGGGTCTACTAATATGCCAGCTACACCAAGCCCGCATGTACCTTCTGTTGGTAGAACAACCATTACTACGTCTAATACTGGTCTTACATCTTCAATAAGTCAAACATCATATCTTAAAAATTCATCAACTACTGAACAATCTACGAAGCCTGCGTCCACAAGTCAAACTGCGTTTTCTGTTGGTCCAGTTGCTGATGGTACATCATCTTTTGGAGCAACCACAATTTCAACATTACGCCAATCACCGCCTAGACAAACTACAAGACAAACTGCATCTTCTTCTGGTTCAATATCATCAAGCCAAACTGTTTCTTCAACTACCGCGTCACCAAACCAAACTACATTCAGTACTGGTCAAACAGCATCTCCTTCAACTACAGGACAAACTACAACTCCGTCCTCGTCCTCTACAATCCATACTATACCTGCCACAAGTCAAACTGCATCTTCTGCTAATATATCATCTTTTGGGGCAACCGCTGCTTCATCGACTAGTCAAACAGCTTCAGTTGTAAGCCAACCACCACCTACTACAAGCCAGGCTACCACAGGACAAACTGCATCTATTGGTCCAATATTTTTAAGCCAAACTCCTTCTTCAGCTACCGCATCATCAAACCAAACTACATCCAATACTGGTCTTGTACCTACAGTAAGTCAACCAGCATCTCCTTCAACTACAGTGCAAACTACAACTCCATCTTCTACAATCCATACTATACCACCCACAGTTCAAACTGCATCTTCTGCTAATATATCATCTTTTGGGGCAACCGCACCTGCTACAAGCCAGGCTGCTACAGGAAAAACTACAATCCAACAATTTACAAGTCAGTTTACATCATCTACAGGTCAGTCTGCGCTTTCTACTGGTCAGTCTTCTCGTGGAACAGCATTTATTGGGGCATCAGCTACAACACCTAATAGCCAAACTGCTTCTGTAAGTGCCGCATTTTTAAACCAACCAGTGACTTCTATTGGTCAAATTACAACTATCGCTGTTCCGTCTACTATAAATCATACTATACCTTCCGCAAGTCAATCGACCCAAGCATTCCCAATTACCACTTCCAGCCCGACAACGTTACCAAGTTACACGACCATTTCCTCATTACACGATATCTCAACGGGTTTATTCTATACAGCCACCAGTTTACCACTTCGCGATTCAGTTTTAAGTGCTGTGTCTACAGGTAGTACAGCACCACAATCCTCAAGAACAAATTTTCAGATCTCTGCATTTCCTAGTCATTCCAATAGTCTAGCTGGATCTCCGATTGGAAGCTCAATAAATACAAATGCGATAACTGAGAAAGGAAATTCTTTAGAGTCTTTACTACGTGCTTCGCCTACAAATTTTAGGATTTCAAAAGGTGTTTCTGTTGATCCAACATATAGCACAGCAAGTAACCCAACAACAATATCAGTGGAACCATTTAAAAACACGCAGTCTGGAAACACTGTTAACAGCGTTGCACCGGAGGTGACTTCAAATGGTTTGAATGTGCCCGATATTACAATGACAGTTCTTTCTGGAAATATAGCACAGTCTTCAATAAATCCTCCAGTTGTTTCGACTGGAAATCAGATGTCATCTGCAACAGGCCAGTCTTTAATTACACAAACTGCGGTGGGGAATAACGCAAACAAACAAACTTCAATTAAGAATCTAATTTCTCCTGCAAATGCTGTCTCTGGCGCTGCTTCAGGATCAAATACAATACCAACGATTGTATCCCCAGCCACGTCTTTCGGAAATTTTATGTTTACATCCGCCAATGGGCCAACACCAGTTGGGGTATCCACGTTCCTTGCTAATGGCAATAAAGGTAATTGTGATATTGATATTTACTTATTTTAGTCTTACATGTAGTATTGAGAGACAGTATATTGTTTTGTAAAATACAAAGACATAAAGGCTTTTAAACTAATAAATAAAGACAAATGTGTGCATTCAGAGCCAGTATTAGAAACAATACTTTAAGTCATAGCGATATAATAAACATTATTCAATGTATTGCCCTTTTATTCACCTATTCGTATGGCGAATGAACCTGAACACCCATAGATAAAGCTGGTGTTGTGATCTAGCCAAATGTATGCTCCTCTATCGATGTTGTAAGCCAAACGTCTAAACTAAACTACCAAATGGCTTTGAATGACTTCTGTTTCTGTAAATAGTTAATTAGTTTATTGTTACCCGTTTGTATATAACCTTCTGTAGCATGTTTCATTGTATCATTGCTTGATAACGTTGAGAGTGCCCTCTTTGAAACGTTGCAGTTAATTAACCCAGTGAATGTTATCCATAAAGTTATTATTATAAACTACCGAGCAAAACAAAGTTGACAATTCCGGTACATGTTCCATAGAAAAGACAAAGACAGTTTTGATTTAAATGTTGAATATTTTATTGAGCGGAATAATATGTTTCTGATGTCGGAGCAAAAATCAAAACATCAACAATAGTGTGACTACAAGTCGGGTTTAACAATCAATGGTTTCTAGATAAATACTTACACACACGTGAGTCAAGAAGAAGCCCTCGAATAAGTCCTTATGCAGTCTGATCATTAATAGCGTCCGCGATACATGAGAAAACGCGTCTCCTCGTGGATGTCGTCAGCCGTCTTATGACGTCATTGGGAAATTTTTGCCATTCTTGCAAAAACGATTGCTCAAGTTGATGTCGGTTTGCGAGAGGGGTTGTCCGATGCCTCAGTTACTGTTGCATAAATGACACTGCACACATAACTTCATCTCTGTATCTTTTGCCAGTCTCCACGAATGATAATAAGCTGGTCAGAAATCCCTTACCATGTCATAACGCCACCTCCATCATAAGGATGAACATCTTTTGTGCAGCTAGTTGCCAATCTCTCCCCTCTACGGGGATACACACGAACATGACCATCATTTCTGAACAGGCTGAGGCGACTTTCATCTGGGAAGAGCACGCTGCCATCGACGTACAGTTCTTGTCCATTGTAACCCGTGCTGAGAGCTCAAAATCATTCATCGAAATATTCGGTAGGCTCTTATACCAGCAATGCGGTGCCGTCGGGAGACCCCCTGTTTGCTGATGAGGTGTAACAAAACAATACTATGACCGCCATTGCCGTCGCAGTCACGAACCTGTTTAGGAGGTGAATTGCCCGGATATAGTTGTCTTCAGCTGGAGTGGTGACCTTCTGGATCTTGGTCGCTCTTGAGTTCGACCTGTTTGCTGAAACCGCCAGAAAACATTGCTGATGGCGGTTGGGCTACAGTGGAGCGTTTTTGTAATTTGCCAGTGCCATCCCAATAACCCTCTCCAGTTCTTTCAGTGTTAATCTGTGCATCTCAGGAATTTATGCAACAATCATGCACATGCACCTCGAGAAATTGTTCACAATCCTGGTTTTATCTTGCGTTCAGTGACTGCGGTGTATACACAGGGTGTATTTTGTCAAATTTATTCTGATAATGTCTAAATTATTAGATTTACATGTGTCAACTTTCTTGTCTGGTAGTTTATAATTAGTAATGAGCCGACTTCGGCTTAATCACGAGGTTAATAATGTGTTTTGATCTAAAGCAAAGAGATTTAACTACTTTGATATAGTTAAATAGTGTAATGATCTCAATTGACATAAATCATGTAACTTATAACCCATAATGTAAGATTGACGAACACTGTAATCTTAAAATGCATTATTTTCTTTAACGTTATATAGGAACCGGTTTTCACCAAGTAGCTATCGATCCACGCTGGGTTAATAACCCTACAACAACGGTCCATCAAGCAGTTGTTGCACCAAGCGGTTCTTCTGCTATTCAAAATGTTGCAGGCCAGGAACAGCTGGGTAAGTGTTATTTCTTCGAACGGAATTTGGTGTTATCGTTTGTTTTTGTCTGTGTGGTTATTCTTTGTGGCAGCAAGCATGCACAGCATACAATAACTAGCGGCGTGTTCGCTTAATTGACAGAATCCTTATTAAAATTTGAAATCTCCAAATGACATAACAATAACAGAAAGAGTTATTAAAGTATTTTTTTTTATATCCAGTTACTATTTTTTTTTTTCACCGTGTAAAATGAATTGAATAGTAAAAAGTTGGTAATTAGCCTATTATTCATTTTGCTTTTCATCTATTGTAGGTAATGCAATTGCCATCTAGTTTATCGGAGAAACAAGTGAACTGATTTTTGACATAAGATAAATGGTAAACGTATATCTATGGTAAAATGTTTCGCTCAATAAGAGGCCCACCATAAAACATACAAAGTTCATAAATATATCCAAGGTGCACGCGCCCTTGACAGTTCGAACTAGCGGAGGCGGGGACGCGGTTGTCTAGCGAACATTATCTTCCTTAGCATTGTTACATGTGACTACAGAAAACAACATTTTTGTAGATTGGTCGCAAAATGAATGAAGATGAAGTACTGTGTTGCTATTGGAACGCATATAGATAGTATTCTGTATACGATAAGTGAAGTAGTACTTCCCGCAGCCTGCAGCAAGCTAGCGTAACGAGCGAATCGACAGCATGTGCAAAGCAAATATTCGTACAGACTTGACGCATAACATTCAGCCTGCAATTGGCATGTTCGCTGGCGTCGATCTGCATACAGCGTTCTAACAATATTTTATTTATTATTTAGAAAACAATTTAAAGCCTCGTGTCCAGTTTCATCGTAGTTAAATGTAATTAGTGTTAATGTAAGGTGCAGGACGAAGGGCCTGACAAGGACAGCTGTCTAGTCCTTCGGATGAGACGAAAAACCGAGGTCCCGTGTATACATTGGAATGCACGTAAAAGATCCCTTGGCAGTTGGAATTCGATATAAGAGTAGGCGATAGTGTCGCTGCCCGGGCAAAATTTCCCTCATAGCACACTGCATGGCGTATGCCTCTCTTTATTAGCCCAGTATAGGAGCAGAACAGTAGGACGTTAAACCCCATTTCATTTCATTTCGTTAATGTAAGGATTGATATGTTGAATGCAATCAACTAGTGAACATTCATTTGAATACATATGAGGGTCGATGGAATCAGAAGATCATAGGCCTCACCTGATTGTATCCTCAAATATCTCAGTTACCGGAAGCTAAGCTGAATATATGATGACACGCCCATAAACGATGATAGAGCATACTGGAGTTTATATTGACAGGAAAATTAAACCATACCGGACACGAGAAATCAAAAATATAAATTCGTGTATTTACGTTTCATTAGGTTTTTTTTAAATTGTATGGGAAAAGTTTAGATTTCCTGTCTGAATTGTTCTTGAAATGGGCCTTTAATATATAATGTAAAATGTTGTTTATATCAAGTCAATCTATTGAAAGTAAACTGTATATAAATCAAAGACCTAAAATAGAAGACACTAATAGACTTGGTTCTGGCTGCAAGTAACTGTGAATAGGCTAAGGTAGAGTGCGGCGATATTATTTGACCAAACTGGCATGTAGGCATATAAAACGAATTCATACCAAATACTTTATTTTAGTGTTTCATGTTTTGATATTTTTGTTTATGATTTACCAAGGAATATAAAGAATTTTAAAGATGTTCTTGATGAAAGAAAAACAAGCAGACAGGGGTGGGGGTAATTTCTACTCATACCTCAACCCGACGTCGAGGGAACAGCAAAGGCAATCGTCAATTTTGAATTTCTTGAAGGTTTGTTCCCGAAGTATCCCTAAAACATTTCAACTGAAATCGCATTGAGACCCTCGTTTAGAGTCTTTTCCTTGATGTTTATCTCATGATAATACTAAATAATAAAGACTCCATGAACTGTTCAATAGGTATTTTATCTTCGGTCTTTGGTTTGTACGCACTCACTGACAATATATTATGTGTTTGAGTTTAATCATTAGACGTGGACTCACATGAGTTATTTAAATATTCTTGTTTTTACAGAAGATGCATGAGACGTTATATGTGCGTTGGTGTTGGTATATGGTAATATAGTTCTGGTCATCAATTTCACGAGCTTCCTTTGACTCCCCAAAGGATGTGGAACACCTATTTTTATATTTTAACTGTGAATAGGTAACGATGACAGCAACGGGAATCAACTTATATAAAGATTCTATGGGCCTCTTTTTGGACGCCATCTAGAATTAAAGAATGCGTTTGCTAAGTCACTAACATTAACACCATCACAATTGTAGATATTGTCCATCGGAAAGAGTAAATATTACATTCAACGGTTATCACGGATTACAAAACGAACAAATTTGATACTCATAAGACGCAGATCAACATGGTTGAGAAAATACTTCGGAATGTGGTTCCCCGTATGAGCGGTGCAGAACGAGGGACCTTGCGAGGAGAATCGTCTAGTTGTTCGGATGGTACGAAAACCCAAGGGAAATGTACATATTGGCATACATTAAAATAAACCCTTGGCAGTAAACATTTGAAATACAAGTCGGTCATAGCGCCACTGTCCAGGCAAAATGTTCACTCATACCACACTGCATGGTGTATGCACATCTTCATTTGCCCGGATGGAACAGACAAGGATGTTAAAAGCCATTTCGTTTCTTTTCACACTGATTATGACAAGAACGCATTCATTAATTTCGGGCAGTGCTTAAATAGGAGGCTTAGAATACTTCGAAAAATTGGTTCGTATAGCCGTTATTGTCATCTACTTATTATTAGAATACAGAAACCGATGTACATATTGGAATAACAATTCGTTTTAACTAAATAAATATTCATATTTTTAAAGGAAAAAAACAGTGTCCTTTTCATGTTATTTTGATTAAAGTACGATAAAGTACATGATTCAAATGCTTCTTTTTGTAAAATCCCACAGGAATGTCGGGGGTCTGACAAAGAACTGTGTCTATTCGTTCGGAAGCTATGGAAAACCGCGTTCTTGTGTACACGTTATCGTGCACGTAAAATAACCCTTCAGTGTTGAAATTCGACACAACCATAAGGCGTAGTGCTGCTGTCCGGTCAAAATGTACCGCGTATATACATGAATGATTATGCATGTCTTCAGTAGACCGGGTGAAGCAGAAATGTAGGACGTTAAAGTCCATTTATTTCATTTCATTTCAAGACCATCCCTGTACTAGTTGATAAAGGTAACAGATCGTATAATTTCGCAATATTTATTGTACTATTGAGTATACATTTCTATAAAAAAAAAAGTAGAATATATATAAACAATAACAAAATCTCCCGAAAAGAAACCAATCTATAAATGAAATATAATTTTAAAAGGGCGGGGCTTTAAGTGACAAGTAGAGAACACCACACATTCCCGATATACTTACTCTTTCGCTCCCACTGAGAATTCCACGTTTGTCTGACGCCAGTTATGCGCAAAATAATAGGGAAAAGAACATGATTTTCTTATAGCTTTGAACTATAACATTGACAAATATAGAATACCATACATTCCTAGTATGCGTACCACTTCGCCCCTATGCATTGAGAATTCCACGTTTGTCTAACGACATTTATGCTTAAAATAATGGTGAAAGAACATAATTCTCTAATTAAAATTTTTGAACTATGACATTGATCCCCTAACTTTCATAGAAACCCCTTTAAGTTATTGAAATTCAGAATTTAAAATATCGGTACTGATTGGGGTAGGGTTACTGATCCGTAAATTGCTTTGGTTCAGTACATATTGTTCTTGTCGATATACTTTCTAAACGGGTTGTAGCCGTTTCAATTCGAGATTGCTTTGCACTGTAACAGACACCAATTAGAGAGTCTGCATCTTCACAGGTACCGTGAACATTGTACAATTGGGTTGAAACAGTTTTAACGTCAACATTTTAACCAATCGCATTATAACCCTCCTGCCGCTCCTTTATCAAATTACTAACTGGCAATTGTGTGACATTCGTTGAAAATCTAAACCATCCGATAGTCTAGAGGGTTGATTAAGGGCTTGACATGTAAATAAAGTCTAATTAATGATTTATATAACATCTGAGGCATTTTTAACATGCTTCATTTCGAAAACCGCGTAGTTAAACTATTTAATGAAATAGATAAAAAAAAAAATAATGAGCATAGGATAAGGTCCCCTCTAAATACTAGCGAATGTTGGGTTACATTTCGCACCTATTATGTTTTCGTTTAAGGGAGTAACCCTAAGTATACCTGCAATATTTGTAGCGGCGGTACTTGTCTTTTCCACCTCTACAAGTGATACACTCTACGAGACTGTAAAAGTAGCTTCATTTGCAAAATTTTCAACACATTGGACGGCCGAACTGGTTAGCGCGTGGTTTCGATTCCCCGGTTGTACGTAACAACCTGTCTAACCTCGTGGGTTTTTATTGAAATAAAAATTAAACCATGTTAGTCCCGAAATGACATAGTTTGCTTTGAGTGGACGTTACAATTGCATTTGTCTGTTGAGCAACTGTTTGTTGTTGAGTAGATTGTGTTGTGGCAATTGTGTTCGAGCCCTGGGGTATGTATGCAGGTTTGTAGCTCTCTCTCTCTGCATGGAAATAAGTAATTATCCCAACGAACCGTTTTTATATATTTTTGAGGTGACGTGAAATCACGTGCGTGTCCCTAATTCTGGTTCGGTGGCCATTTTAAAAACGACAGAAATATCGCGTAGCGGTTGGATTTATTATGAACATATGAGGTCAGGCTTGGTTTATTTTATGTTAAGCGGTGTGCAGTACAATACAGTTTGGATCAGTTTAAATGGAAATTAAGGGAGTTCGTTATAGGCCAGTAACTTTTTTGTAGACAAATGACTAAAATAAACTTGCCCAAAGGAAGTCCTTAGAACGATCATATACTGCGGCTTGAGCAAGGCGGAAGACATTAGTAGTGGAACCATTTCTAACTTAAGTGTTGACCAAAGTCATGTTTGAAATACGTAAACTGTTTATTTCAAATGTAGTGAAAAATCATAATAATTAGATAACGTTGTCGAATCTTTTTGTACATGTAAGATACCCATGTATGTTTAGAATGAACAGATTATTTTGAGAATGGCTTAGCGTGGGGGGTTGGATGGCCGAATGGTAAGTACGTGCACGCTGTATCATAAAACCTGTAATTGACTCAACTGGCATGGTTTCGAATCCCCGGTTGTACGTGACAAGGAGTGGGGTCGCCTGTCCAACCGCGTGGGTTTTCTCCGGGTCCTCGGGTTTCCTCCCACTGCTAAAGACCCCTACGCGCAAGCGAATTAATGAAATAAAATTAAATCATATGTTAGTCCCGAAATGACTTAGTTTGTGTCGAGTGGACGTTAAACCCCATTTCTCTCTCTCCCTCTCATTATCCCCCTTTGTTAAATTATATTAATGTTAACATAATTTGGCGTTTTGTTCATCAAATCGTGACGTTGTGTTGTGTAATTTGGAAAGCTCAGGAAATAATGTTATACATTTTCAATGAAGTCGTCTTCATAGTAATGCGTTTGAAATGAAATGAAATGGGGCTTAACGTCCTACTGTTCTACCAGAGTAATGCAGTTATAGCGTAGTTGTATGATATTACATATTTCTGTTAAAGAAAAATTCTCCTTGTAGCTCATGGCGTTTGTTCGATTTCATTAGCCCGGCTGCGTTGCAAAATACGCCCAGATTTTGGAAGAAATGGACAAGGAACAAGCTGAAAAAGTGATTTTCCGTACAACCAAAGGCTATAATCCAGACAGTTACGATCCAATATGCGCCAATGTCGACAGTAACCCAGATCTCTGGGTTGTAAACATACATATTAAGTTTCATCAAAATCAGACAAAAGATTGTGACCTCTATACAGTGTCCACAAACTAAAAACATGATTTTTTGCAGTATCAGGGGCCATAATCCATGACGTTACGGTCTCATGCATATCAAAATCGACAGGAATCGAGATATTGGCGCTATAGACATAAATTTCAAGTTCCATCAAAATCGGATAACAATTGTTAATTCTAGGTGGTCCACAATTTTGTAGGGCAGTTTTGGTTCCGATTTTCACGAACCGTCATTGTGGTGTAAAGTGTAAACGTTACATATATTTGAACGGTTTCTAAAATCAAACAAAAATTGTGATCTCTAGAGGGCCCGCAAGCTAAAAACGCCATTTTTCGTATACTCAAGGGCGATAATGCAAGGAGTTATAATCCAATATCGAGAGGAACCGAGATCTTTTTTTTTTCATTTTCTTTTCTTAGCAAATAAAACGTCAGTACGATTTCAAAATCAGAGAGGCACTTTAATCAAATTATTCTAGAGAACGACTTAATAAATGCATCAAAGCAATTTTTTGTGAACAGTATGTTGACACATTAGTGATTAATTCATCAAAAGACATAACGAGAAGGTTTAGAGTCTGTACACAGTCTATACATCAGTATCTGGTGTGTCCACCGCGAGTGTCAATAACAGCAGCGCAGCGTCTGTACATGGAGTGGACCAGACGATTGATGAACGCCATTGGCACCTGGAACCACACTCTCAGAAACGCCTAAGAGTTATTGAGTCTCCTCTGAATTTCATCCCAAAGATGTTCAATCGGGTTTAAGTCCGGCCTAAGGGTTGGCCAGTGCATAACGTTGACACCGTTCTGCTGTAGAAAGTCCCGAGTAACTCGGGCGGTGTGGGCACGGGCGTTGTCATGCTGGGAAACGTTGTTTCGATGACGTGCAAATTGTGGTATGACGTGGGGTCTGAGAGCTTGATCGATGTAGCGCCCTGCTATGATGCCCCTCTCCCTGGACCAAGATTTTGGAACACCACAGGACCCACTCTCTGGTTCAGGCCGATTCCACCCCAAACCATTATGCTTAGACCTCCACATGAGTCTCGTTCCATGACATATTGGTCAGAATAACGCTGGCCACGTCGACCGACTCTCATCTGTGAACAGAACAGTTCTCCATTGCCCGTGTCGCCAGTTCTGGTGTTGTTGGGCAAACTGTAGACGTTCAATTCGATGGCGAGGGGTGAGGATCGGTCCACGGTAAGGTCTACGGGAATGGATGTTCTCTCCGGTGAGACGTCGACGCACTGTATTGGTACTGATGGGTCTTCCGTATGTTCCCATTGTCCGACGTGCTAACTCAGATGCCTGTGTGAAGGGATTCTGCACGTGCTGTCGCACAACATGACGGTCTTGTCGCCTTCTGGTAACCCTTGGTCTACCAGCTTGGGGGCGATCATCCGTGGTGTTGGTAGACCGAAAGCGTTGACGAAGCCTGCAGATGGTCCGAACATTACCTGGAAGTGATTGGTAACGGCTTGGGCAGTGTGGCGAGCGTCGAGTCGTCCAAGCGTCTGATCCCTCTGAGCTGTCGTGAGTCGTGTCATGCTGCTGGCGTTGTAATGTGAATGATTCAACCAGGTATGAGGGCGCATTTTATAGGGCTGGTCCCGGTGAACAGCAAGTGCAGCATGAGTTATATGAAAATCATGGAGAACACATTACCATCTCAGAAGTCAGGTTGCGTTTTTGGGAACATTTCCTGGGTTCAATTCTTTCTTTGGGATGCTCATCAGGGGGGATGGCCGAATGGTTAGCATGTGCGCGCTGTATCATAAGATCTATCATTGAGTCAACTGGCGTGGTTTTGATTCCCCGGTTGTGCGTGACAACTCGTTGGTTTT